CAGAGGAAGCTGAGGCCAGTGGAGGTGAGGCCCGAGGAGCTGAGTCCAGTGAAGGTGAGGCCCGAGGAGCTGAGTCTAGAGGAGGTGAGGCCAGAGGAGCTGAGTCTACAGGAGGTGAGGCCCGAGGAGCTGAGTCTAGAGGAAGTGAGGCCCGAGGAGGTGAGGCCAGAGGAGCTGAGGCCAGTGGAGGTGAGGCCCGAGGAGCTGAGTCTAGAAGTGAGGCCAGAGGAGCTGAGTCTAGAGGAAGTGAGGCCGGAGGAGCTGAGTCTAGAGGAAGTGAGGCCGGAGGAGCTGAGTCTAGAGGAAGTGAGGCCAGAGGAGCTGAGGCCAGTGGAAGTGAGGCTAGAGGAGCTGAGTCTAGAGGGGGTGAGGCCAGAGGAGGTGAGGCCAGTGGAGTTGAGGCCCGAGGAGCTGAGTCTAGAGGAAGTGAGGCCGGAGGAGCTGAGGCCAGTGGAGGTGAGGCCTGAGGAGCTGAGGCCAGTGGAGGTGAGGCCTGAGGAGCTGAGTCTAGAGGAAGTGAGGCCGGAGGAGCTGAGTCTAGAGGAGGTGAGGCCAGAGGAGCTGAGTCTACAGGAGGTGAGGCCAGAGGAGCTGAGTCTAGAGAAGGTGAGGCCAGAGGAAGTGAGTCTAGAGGAGGTGAGGCCCGTGTCTAACAAGGCAGAGGGTGCAGCCTGCAAGCTGGTTCTGGAGAGAGCCCTTAGCAAGACGATGCTCCCCGTTAATGTGGCTCAGCGCGTTGCTTCCAATCATTAGTGACGCCTTGTATCTGAGCGAAGTGGAGGAACACTGGTGAGAGCAGACAGTCCTTTTGTTTTGCTGCACTGATTAGAATCCACCAAGAAAGCACGAGAAGGGAAGGAAGTGTTGTAGGTGTTCAGAAAGAAAAATGCAAAGCACAATGCAATAGACTAAATATTTGAACAATGCCTGCAGACGCACAGGAATGCCATCTAGGGATGACGAAGGAAAGCGATCCGGCTTTCAGGGGAAGTTCTCAGCAGTCCACTGTATTTTGACTGGAATGAGTCAGATAACACGGTGCATAATTTTCTATGTTTATATAATTATTTTAGTGAATTTGTCGGCCTGTTAGAGCTTTGTTATTCAGAGACGTTTGCTCTAAAATGCCATTGTGTCTGGTGGTCTGAATGAGGCACACACTGTATCCAACAGATATTAATATATCCACTAAAGGCCATCGCTGAAACAGCTCTGTGAAACATGCTATAAATACTAGGAGGCTTAAAAAAAAGAGGGAAATGGCCTCCACACACCTGTAGTCCATTATTCCCACTGCGTGCTGTATCTCCTCTAACAGACTCGTCAATTAGCTCAGTGGGAGTTCTCACACGCACAGTTGATCTCATTGTGTATTTATATTCATTTGTAACAACTTTTATTACAAATTATAGTACGTGATTGGCACCAGATGCCATTTTTGCCCTTAATAACCCAGCTAGATGAATCCCAAAAGACCTTTTTTCATTCATGTGAAGAGGATATAATAAAAGGTTTTTCTTGCAAAAATCCCAAAACACATCAGATAGCAGCTGTAGATAACTATTATTTTATTTCTATGTTTTCCCTTACGGTGTTCCTTTTAAGTTGAAGTCTTGTTCTGCCACCCTTTTGGATTCGGTGCCTGTCAACGCCATCGCAGGTCGACTCAGCCTGTGTGTAATCTCCCTGCAGGCGACTCCTCGGAGCCAATAAAAACTTGTCCCCCTGGCAACCGAAGAGCTCGGCCCGGCGAAGCTGCACAAACAGGGTCCAGAGCCGAGGAGGCCCAGGACCACCGCAAAGACCCACAGTAGTCTGCCCTCTCCTGTTATTGTGTCCGTCTCAGCTTTGGAGTCTTTCTGCAGCGCCGCTCGTCCGTCAGAGGCAGGTCTGGGGTCAGTGCATCAGGAGGCCGGGATGGAGCTGATAATTATTCATATTCACTTGGTTGGTGACAGTCGCCTGTTGCTGATGGAAGTCGTATTATAAAGCATGGATGAGAATATTCTGCAACTTCCAAATAGTGCTCAGATATTAAAGTAGGTTTTTAATGTCATGAGAGGAGCAAATATAAAACAGACTTTCTTCACACGCGTTTTATATGAGACAATGAAATAGAGATAATATGATATGAATCCCAGGCTTTATGTCGTAAGTTGATATTTTCAGGGCTCAGAAGAGAAGCATTTACCGCTTCTGCGGCCGCCAGATGTGCAAAATTATCCAAGTCAAACAAACCAGATTGCAGGAGGAACAACTTAATGAATGTGATTATACCAAATGGTACAAGTGGTAATGAGATACAGACACTAGAAACGCCGGTATGTTACGGGAAGAACTGCACAGCGCTAATGGGACTACAGTTGTTTTCTAACAGGCTTCCTATTTGGAGGCCGTCCCAATGGTGAACACATGCACACGCAGGCATCAGGCTGTGGGTCCGTTTGCTTTGCTCCTCGCAGGAATGCTGGGAATTGTTTGCTCTGTCTGCTTCAACTTCTGCTCCTTCTAGCCAGCTTAGTTTGGCTTTTTCCGGATGCGCACGCGCGTGCACACACACACACACACACACACACACACAGTTATTTTGCCAGTCAAGAAATGCCCCTGTGTTTTATGTTGCGCCCTGTAGAGAGCACAGTTTCCTCGTTGCTATGGTGACCACCTGTATGTCTTAATGGTGTCCGAGAGGTTTTGGATGGGAGCAGAGCTTTTGGATGTGCGTCTCCGTATCACGTCTGAGTGTGTTGCTATTGAAGCCGCAGTGGACAGGATCTGGGATCAACGTTTGGGTTTGTCCTGCTGGCGAATGCAGCGCTGTGGTCGGGTTGGCGAGGCGTAAAAGTGAGCGCGTTTCTGAAGATATTAATGAAAGTTTTTGCCAAAGGCAGAAATAAAACAGGGCTTTGTGGCTCCATTTGACACACAAGCAGGGAGGAATTCAGCTTTTGTTTTTTCCACATGTATTAAAAAAGTATTTCTGTCCAACATCTTAGTTAGTTCACGTCTGTTCATGTTAGAAAATAATAATAAATGATGCGCTAAAACAAATATTTGGACAGCTAAGCGATAAATGCTCCAGCCGGTACTATAAGTTTGGGGTGTCATGTAGTTTTGATTGTGGTGAAGTGACAAAATAACTGAATGTGTTGTTTTCAGCAGATTGTGGCGACTTCCTTGAACTGAATTCATGTCCCACATTTGTCTGTTTTACAGGTTAGTGTGAATAATCATTTACTCTCACTAAACTGTTAGTGTTTGTGATGCCGCCAATAAATCCCTACCAATCAATCGACAGGGTTACATTAGTTTATTGCAGAAACATGAAGCTCCATTAAAGAGCTCAAGTCAAACTCCAGCTTGTTGTGCTGTAGAAGCATAAGTAGACCTGGGATCAGAATGCTGTTTTTTTTTCTTCCTTTTTAGGGAAAAATGCACATTAACTCTGAATGTATGATTAACGAGGCAAAGCCGTAAGACTAATAAGCCATATTAAATGTGTCAGAGTGTGGGAGGGTCGAGACTGACTCTTGTATGACGTTCAAGCCAAACATTTATTCGATCCCCTGGACATGACTCCTTGTTGGAGTCTAATTCCTGAGTGCAGACCGCTCTTCTACCCCTTCCAAAGGAAATTTACCTCATGTGTCTCCTCTGCTTGGTGACATCTGGATTATTTTATAACCGCTATACAATGCAGTACTATATTTGTGATGAAACCTTTAATGCTCAATAATCTCTGCTTTGAAACTCTCTGACTTAATGACTCCAGGTGTTGTATTCAATGACCCAAAATAGGCTTTATGAATACGTTTGGTGTCACGCGTGGTCCATGTTCTGAGACACTAGCTTCCTGCCGACGGGGCTTCACCAAGCTTTGCATGTACACGTCCAGCGTGACATTCACAAGATAGCCTCGGATCCAATCGACAAGTGGATGCGATCAAAGGAGGAGGTGAAAAAATGCTGCAACAAGCTTCCCCTTAAACATTCGCCTCAACGCCAGTGAGCCCAGACTTTGGCCAGACTGCAGAGCGCATGAACAGACGATGACTCAGCAGCTTCTCAGGCTGTGGGCACCCTCTCTCAGCTTTGGAGCCACATAAATTTGATTCCCACCACCCAACAGCAGGCCTCTCCAGTCCACATGGATATTTGGTTCCCGTTCCAAAGGCAGCAGAGGAGGGAAACGCAAACCGAAACGTTTGGCTCTCCTGAGGCGGCGGCGCTCTCTCGCATACGTGCTCTGATCTTGGCGGACGGGCATCACATTCACGCTCAAGGTTGCTGAAGAGTACTCGGAGTCAAATGACCTCGTATTTTACGCCATGTGAATCAAAGTGGGGAAAATATTATTATTCTGCATATATACCGTGGAAAAGATACTACTCTCATGTTCTCATGTCTGCCACTTTTAATCTAATTACTGTCTCTTCCAGTCACATGTGTTTATGAAGGTATTCTAGCAGGTGTGTGTGTGTGACTGACAAGCACATGAGCATCAGTCAGCAGCTACGCCCTCTTATGAAACTGAAGTAGAATAAGTAAACGTTTATAGTTCATTCTCATGATTTCTCATATAATTCATGTAATTTTGAAGGTAAGCCTGCCAAGAAACACAGCAAGAAAATTAAAGTAAATGTTGAATTATTTGTCACAGAACCTCCGTGGTTATGAAAGGTCAGTCATTTTGACCAGAATTGGTTTTCTGTTCCCCACTTTCATAGTTTTCCTGCATGCGCACTTGAAAGATTCAACCGTGTATTCTGACATGTAGTGTGGCAGTAAAATCCCAGCGCAGTTCTACCAGAACCGAAGCTCATTCAACCATTAACCTCGGCCAGTGAACTGGTGCAGAACGGCTCATTCCTGCTGGCCTGCTGGGAACTAGACAGGTTTCCAGTGCAGTGACCAGAAAGGGGGGCTTTGCAGCATCGCGTTGAGGTGATTCCCCCCAAAAAATGCACTGTTTCTCCCTTAATGGCCTGAGGAAATGTTGGCGCCGTCTAATGATCCTTTTCCTGCCATGTCACGGTGGTTTGCTCTTAGATTCCACTAAGAAGTGCTCTGCCAGTGTTCTACGTCCTGAGGAGCTGCTACCCGGACAATCTCCCAACCTTTTTCTTTAGAGCGCCCCGTTACCGTGCCAGCATAGTAACACATTTTGATATCACAAGTACATGTGCGTCATCAAAAACAGATGCTTCTGATTCCTCCGAGCAGTGAGGCGGCTTTGACACTGTCTCTGAACTGTGGATCCTTGAAGACCAGTTAAAACACTTAGTTAGCTTTGGTTTTTGTTTCATAACGGCGAAACAATTCCATCCTATCTGTATATAAAATAGGCGGAATGGGAATTGGCTGCTTTAGCTTGGGGGGCCGTGTCTGCTTTATTGGTCGGTACCACCTGTGCTGCTTCTGCTGTGCGACGAGTTGAGATGTCTGCTGTTAAAAAGGCTTATGAAGCAAGCTCTGAGAGTCTCATATTGTCTAAAACTTTTGACGCTGTACATTCTCGAGTTAATCTAAGAATATGCGCGTTTGGCGCTAAATGTAAGGGGGCTCAATCCTCTTCTTTTTCCATGCCAGACCTTTTACCACAGACTGCTGGCTTTGACGAAGGGTTGAAGACAATCCGTCGTCTCCAGAACCTTTTTCATCCGGCTGCCAAACACTCCAACCATCCACCCAACATGGGAACGCTGGAGTGCCGACTCAAAGCAGGCTCTGAGTCGCCAGGATTAACAACCAGACAGAACAATTCGGAGGTGGTCATGAGAGAGAGAGAGCGTGTCTGTTCCAGCAGGAAATCAGCTGAAGTTCAGCAGACAGTGTTGACTGATATATAATCTTTACTTTGCCCCCGTGTGTTGTGACTGGAAACGCATGTGAAGTTCTGCCTCTGAGCTGAAATCATAAGTCATCTTGTAGTAGCATTGGTTTTGTAATGACATCATGTAGCCACAGTCAGGACCCCCACCTGTGAAGTGGCTTCCAAACCGTACAAAAACACCCCCAGAGGGACAAAAAAATGGTATTTTATAAATTAATGTACACTCATCTGGCCTTTTTTATCCAACAAATCGAGTAAACCCAGAGAGAGATAACGAATCTCTCCACATCGGCTTTGGATGTAACTGTATCTGAGGTTTTTTGTGCTGGGCAACGTAACTCTCTTGCCTGCTAGTTACCAGAGCCTGCTAATGTGTAGCAGCTGAAATAATACTACAGGGTCTGTATTTGTTAAGAGGCCCTTGCAGAAACTGGGACTAGTCGACTCACTAAAATGCCAAATGGGAAAAAAACTCATCTTCAATTATCTGTTGCCAAATAAGTGGTCACATTTCATGGAACCCGACTGATTAAAATGGTCGTGCTGGTAAAACAGGCCATTGGCTCCCGTTTTAATTGTCACACTTTTCCAGTATATAATGATACCTGGATCGTAATTTGCTTCTCTCGCTCCTGAATGCCCATTTATTTCCTTTCTCTACCAAATAACTAAGAGGCGCACTGGAGGGAGTGGAAGGTCTGCATTCCTCTGAGTCGTTAGGGAACGGTCGACCATCGGCGGCCAAAACTGGCGGCTGTGGGTCAGACGATCCTAGATGTCATCAAATACGTGTTGGAGCCAGAACTACGGTCCAATTATCTTGCATCCGGCTCTTTCTCTGTCCAAAATACCATCAATAATGTTCCTTTTGAGAGAATTTGCCCATTAGGTACAAAAATTCAAAATGACAGTCGAGTGGGCCTTATTACACCTAAACTTCAGAAATAAGCATTCAAAGATGAATGAAGTACATGTAGAATAAAGAACATGTAGAATGCCCCCAAATATGTTCCTGTTACCCTCGGACGATGGTGCTGAAGAGAGGTGCCAGGAAAAGAAGTGGAGAGAGCGCCCGCAGAGATGTTTTCTTTTTTCCAATGTCCACATTTCAGTGTTTTGTTGGTTTTGCAGCACTGACGTTCTACTTTTTGACAAATGGTACATGGAAACCACGCTCACCAACAAACTATGTTCGTAATGACTGGACTGATCACATGTCGGCCAATCACAGAGCTCCTGTAACATTTGGAGAAAAAAAAGTTCACTGATTTTTTTTTGTCCCCCCCAACCAAAACATAAGAAAATAAAACAAACCTCTCACTTTTTACAGAAAACCTGCAAGGAATCAGAAAACATTGAACACAAACCAACTATTAGAACAAAGCATCCAAAGCATCGCTGCAGGTCCGTGGAGGAAAGAAGGCTGATTGAGGAACAGGAAAGGGGGGAAAACCTTTGCCAAGAAGAATTGAGTTTTCCTGCGCTTTGCACGTCGCTGAGGCCACTTGGCACTGAGATCTAAGTCGCAGGTTAATAACTACACGCACAGGAAGCCAGGCAGCAGACAGGTATGAGGTCAGTATTTCCACTCCGCTGATTCGAAGGCAATGCAAGACGGTAATAACAAACAAAAGAAAAGGTTCGTATGTCAGATTTTAAAAGTTGTTGAGTTCATAGGTGACAGATGTGTTTGTACAAATACGAGTCTTTTTCCGTCCATTTTAACCGACCAGTGAGCGAAGTGAAGTCCTGATTATTTGCTTGGCAAATTACTTTAACAAGCTCAAATTAGCAAGGCGACTTTAAAACAGTGCGACAGTAAAATTACTCCGGGGGGGGAACCAAAATGTTTTCTTTAGAAGCAGCTCCTGCGCCGACAGACCATGTTCAACAACAGAGACAGCAACACAAACAAAAACACAAAGAATCATTCCTCAAATGTGAACCAGCTGTTCCGGCTGTCGATGTTCTTCCCTCTGTCTCGGCCATTTGCTTCCATACAGTGGAGACATTTTTATATTTTACACCTAATGATCTGGCGTTGGTCTCACGCGGACCTACATGTATGTGCAGACTAAATTCTCTGAAGTTGTTCAAAAACGGATCAATCTCAATAACTTTGGCGATCCCCTGAATGTTCCTTTAGCGTCGCCAACGGCTCACATTTCTGTGATCAGGACACCAAGGTCACTGAATACCTCCATGTTGTTGTATTCACTGCTGTGTTCCATCTCAGCTGGACCTGCAGCCAGCTTCAGCTCACAGGTGAGATCCTGCCCTGCATGCAAAAGGAGAATCTTGCTCCTTGTGACGTAACGTTGTTCGGCTGATTGAGCCTCGGTTCACCCCTGGCTTCAATAACCTGTAACGTTGCAGGCACACAGTTCCTGTAGCGCTTTGTCTCGCGCACAGATCCTCTTTTCTGGTTTTCCTCCCTCCTCCTCATGCACAGATCCTGAGCTTCTCCTCTGAGCTCCACCCACCTCCGGATAAAAGCCAAACCCTCACCAGAGCTGCTGTTCAGCGTCTGTCCCAAACTCCTCAAAGCTTTCTGAGACTTGCAGCCTGCAGAAACACAGCCGAAGGTGAGTGATGCGTCGCAGCAGCATTTGTGGATGTTTTGGTTTGCAGCCCCGCCGTGATTTGGGTTTTTTGGTGCAGTAGTAACATCCACTAAGCTCATCAGGTTGGATTTTAAAATTGTTTTTTTAAATGCATGCTTCTGCGATGGCAATAGCGTGACTGGATCATTCAACCCATTCTTCTTGAAATAAAACAAATCACATCCACAAGAAAGACTTTTGGGATTGCCTGAGGAAAATAGTTACAGAGATAGAAAAGGCAGAGCAAAAATACATTCCATAAGACATCCTGAAGCTCTCTGCTGTGACGCCTCTGCTGACTGAGGTCTCTGTAGATAACCGAGTTGTCTAAATGCAAAGAACATACAAAAGATGAAGCTGGGAAGAATAACAAATGCACAGTGCAGCATCTCGAAAGGATTCTGAAGACGACAGTTGGCCCCTTTGCAGTGGAAAGGAATACATTTAAAGTTGAGTGCTTTAACTATATACATATAATTACAATAATAATATAATAACACATAAATAAAAGAAGACAGGATTAAAAGGGGCTTTTTGCAGCACATTTGTACCTCTTTACACCTATTTTGTATTTTTATACCCATCTGTGTCCTCTGCTGAAAATAGATTGAATAGAATGGCTTTGATAACATGCTAGTTCAAAATACCGTAACCAACTTCTGCCCAAGCAAACTGACCAGAAACTCCAGTACAACCTCCCCATCTTCTCTATAACTTCAACACAGAACACCTGAGCGTGCGCCCGCAACAGTAGTGAACGTGTCCATGTTGAGGCTGTTGTGTCTCTCTCTTTCTTTTTGTGCGCAGAAAGGCTTTCTGATTGCTGCTGTAACTTGCCTGCAAAAGAATCTCGCAGGAGCATCGTTTCTGATAGAAGAGAGTAGAAGAGGTGTAAATGTGCCTGTGAGGCTAATGAGCTGCATTGGCTGGAGGTGATAAGTGTCTCAGTAAAAGTTTAGATTTACCCCAAAGGTCAGTTTTTATGGAACTAAAAACACTTTTCTTTGCAGCTGTTTTACATTTTCAGCTCGTTACTCCTAACAAAAGTTGCTGTGCTTTTCCTCTCTTAGAGAGAAAATTCCTAACTAGGGAAAATGTGGGTAAGCTGACATAGTTGAGGTTAAACTAGTTGCACAATTAAGTCGCTGATTACCGCAAGTGCAATTCTAGGTGCTCGGTAAAGACTGTTGGCATCAGCAAATTGTGGTGCCAGGCAGCACCGTGGAAACACGCTGCACACCCATCTGCAGATCTGAGGAGGTCACGAACGCTCCAATCAAGAACATCTAGAGCTTTGCAATTCATGGCGGTACATTAAGTCTATATCTGATTGTTCTGGGAGAGGTAATGGGTGGTTTTAGTGCCGTGGTTTCGTTCCCAGAAGAGGTATGCATGCGTTTTCAGGGGTGTTTGTTTTGCTTTTCTCAGATTGCAAACTGTATGCATTTACTTTTCATGAAGCTCAGCTCAATCCACAAATTATTAGGTTGAAGTTACCTAAAGAGGTTTACCCCAGGAATGAGTCTGAAGTGTGTGTGTGTGTGTGTGTGTGTGTGTGTGTGTGTGTGTGTGTGTGTGTGTGTGTGTGTGTGTGTGTGTGTGTGTGTGTGTGTGTGTGTGTGTGAGAGACTTCAAGCCGGTTTCGGTTTGGCCATGAAGGAGCTTCATCGCTCCAAAATGTTTCTTCAAAACCATCAGCTTGTTGAAACAGCATTTTCAAATTGTAAACCATTCACTAACAGTCATTATGTGACTATATTTTTGTCACTGTGTTGATGTCTCTTGACGGTGTTCTCGGCTCCGCAGTCAGACTGCTCACCTACTGAACAGGAAGTTGTGTATGTGGCTCAGAGGGAATGTGTCTCTTGATCCTGCAGCTGCAGCCTCTGGGACTTCAGGCCATGTGTCCAAACATTCTCCTGCTACCGTGCAGAGCACTGCAGCCTCAGCAACCCAAAATACCAACATAAATCCTTCTTAAGCTGCAATTTGCGTTGTTGATCATCGGCATGTTTCTGCAAGCAGGGTGTCTCTCACATTACAGGGATCCATATGTTATGGTCCACTCTGGAATTAAAAATGTATATTTTAGCACATTTACTACAAAGTAGCTCTTATCGTCGCTTGTAAATACCCCACTGCAAAAACATCTGGACAGTAGGAAAAGGGAGGATCCTTTTTTTCTCTAAGTGGCATATTTCACGGTGTGACTGTGTAACACATTAAGCTTCCCGGGACTCATATTCAGGCAGCCAAAAAACCCAATGACAGATCACCTGAAGAAGACGTTTCTGCTGTCAAAAGCTGGGAGGAAACCATCTTCAAAGTCAAATTGTCAGCAACAGACCCTCTTGTTCTTTTTAAAAAATACTCTGCTATCACCCACAAAATCCACAGATTGTTCCTCCTTTTGAAAGTCTCATTTGCTCACTTGTTCTGTTTGACCTAATGTAAAGGTGTAATCTGCAAAAGAGTACATTTGTGTGGTCAATTTGTTAGAGGTCTTCTCTGTGCCTCAGTTGAATGATTTTGAAATGGTGGAGAAAGTATTTGTATCTTTTATTTGATCACTAATAGTGATGATGAAGCTATAGCAGCAAAAGGAAGAAAACAGTAATTCTCTAGTTTAATGGTCACTGCGGCTGATGTCTTATCCTAAGTGATGATGAGATTAATAGCACGGCAGCATCGATGTGTAATCAGCACATCAGATATGTAACAAGACACTGTTTGTTTGTAATGGGCCATCAGCCCAAAGATTGGCTCACAGCTGGTTTAATATTACTTGTACATAATGGAGTTACCGCGCGTCGCTTTTTATGTAGGATCTTAGTATAAATTGTAACCAGGCGGCTATCAGCTAACTTTAAGGGAGTAAAAGCACATTACCTCACACTCAAATACATAAAGAACTATGAAATGGCACAAAATGTGAAAAGTGAAGTACAAGTTTTTATATATGTACAGCCATTGAGTAGATCCATGTGGTTCCTTTAAACCACTGAAGACTACACGTGGCCTCCTGCACAGTATGCGCTGTTCTTTTCCCATTTACACAGTACAGGAAATATATTTATGCAGCTGCAAACTGCAGAATTCCCGTCTGGAGTCTGTGGTCTAAGCATAGTACGACTGATCGGATCTGATTATTGGCCAAACGGTGTTATTGCCTATGAAAATAATCGTTCACTAGCGGAGTGTGCCTCTGAGAGTAAGTCCAAATATGAGCAGAGAGCACAAAAGAAATGTGACCACATGAGGTGAGAGCTTGAATGACCTTTGGAAGTCTGAAGAGGATCGCAAGCGTTTCCTTCCTGCTGTAAAAGATAGTGGAGCAAAGCGTGTTGAATAAGCTTCAGTCAGTATTCAGCCTTTCCCTTTTCTCTCTAAAAGTATAAACAACTTCTGTAAAAGTATGTAGAAACCATAATCAATTCTTAGTTCTGACACCAGATACTTTGTTTTTGACAGCACTCACAGCGAATATGAAAATAATTATTTTCCCGCTCCAATTTTTGCCTGAAACGAAATAGCGGCCAGACATCGGGGGACTTGTGGTTCCCAGAGCTGCAGGAGGGGGAGGATCTGTCGATGAGATGGGTGTCTCAGAGCTGTTAGCGTATGTTGGTACATGTATGTTGAAGGTTGGAGAGGCAGTGAGCAAACAGTGCGGTTGCCAATTTGAAACTCATGCTCATGCTACTTCCCCTGGCGGTTATTTAGAGCATCAGTTTGAAATGGACTTTTCAGTCCAACTTAGAGGTCAGGTGACCTTTCGTCTGCTGCGTCGGAGGCTGTAGACGCCTCGGAGAGGATGACTCCGACCCCGCAAAGAGGTCGTGGAGGTGTGAAGGAATGCTGTAAGAGAACTGGAGCAGATGGAGACAAGCCTCTAGAGTAAATCACATGGGGACAAAGTCCAGAATACTCCCATAATCTGGTTAATGGAGTCTGAGAAGAATTGTGGAAAACGACCACAGTGCAGGATTATAACACTAAAAACTACCTGATTGTGCAAAAGTGAGCCGGCAAACACAGTCTGAAGTATTTAGTCTTTTTTCGCCCTTGGATGCACATTTGGTTCTGTAGACAAAAGTAAACAAGATATTTGTACAAGTGTTTTTTATGGCTTAAAAATCAGATTCAGTTATGGAGTCTGGCGCCCTCTAGTGAACTTGGCTTAATTGGCAGTGTGATCTTTTTTTTTTACTTGATGTCAAAATGTTATCTACAAGGATGCACATGGATGGAAAACTCAATTCATTTAATTTTGTATAGACAAAACCGCAAATTACAAATTTGCCTCAGAGGGCTTTACAGTCTGTACACAGGCGACATCCTCTGTCCCGAAACCCTCACATCGACACAGGAAAAACGTCCCACCATCATTACCCTAAAATTGTTTTGTTTTATCTGACCCTAAAGATCTTTGATCTGCTATCACATAATCCACAGGAGCGCAACAAATATTTTCATTTTGAAAAAGCTGGAACCAGGATTTTTTTAGCATTGCTGTTGATGGAGCAGAAGAGAATCACAGTGCAGGAGGTGTTTTTCTTATAATGGTCAGATAGTAACACACACATATGCATGCAAATAGCCCCACACACAGGTACATTCCCCAGATGTTGTTTTGGCCCTTTTGCTGCTTCTGTCAGCTGATTGTTGCATTCGTTTGTGTGTGTGTCTAGCTGCATAAAGCAGTGTTTCAGGCCTTGATTTTAAAAAGCCAACATCTAATTATGAGCCCTCAATGATTAGGTGTCTTCATTCAAGGACGATGAAGGATGCTCTCATCAGAAAAAAAGGCCCTCTGCAATCAGTTCAAAACACAAAAGCCAGGCCTGACCTCAAGCAATTAAGACTGGCACCCATAACTGTAAGCAATGACATGCCTCTGTTCCTCCTCGTTTGTTTATCGAGCGCTCGACTCCCCCATCTGGAATCGGTCGGCAGAGAAACACAGAGGAGAAATGGAAATTTGATTATTTTCGAAGCCAAGCCAGAGGTGATGAAAGACTTGTGGCTCACCACAAAGTGGGGCCGGCTGTGGTTGTAAGCGTTGGCAAAGAGGTTCAGAGGAGCCCACATCCATCACAGGAATGTCATCGGAGGGCGGAGGAGGTGTCTGAGGAGTTTTCAAGTGCGTGCATCATAGAGTGAACGGAAGGATCGGGAGAGTTCTAAATGTGTTCTTTCAGTAACATGATGCACAATCAATACATGTTCTATCACGGGAATGTGAGCTGTCCCGTCTAACAGGATGTTGCAGATGTTGTATGCTGTAGTCCATGTTAGGATGTTCACGTAGTTCTCTTACATTGAACTCTTAATGGAAAACCAGATATATTTAACACCGGACTTCAACAACTCACTCAGATAAAAACCCCTTTGATGGGGAAAAAAGAGAAGAAACCCCAGGCAGAACGGCAGAGGAGGGATCCCTTCAATGCCTCAGTCGCTCCATTCGTCAAGGAAAGAGTTGTGTCTCTGCCTTGCTGTATCAAGGCCAAAATGTGTCTACCTAGTGAAGATGGCAGCTTAGCGTTACAAACCCCAGGTTTCTGCCAAAGGTCCCCACCTCACATTCATCGAACCTGACATTCATATTTGTTCACAGCAGGGCTGCAGCTAAAACCTGTCTGGATCCCCGTGCGTGTCAGCCGTCCCACCCATTCCTGGGAAGAGACCTGGAAAGCGACCTGAGAGAACGACCAACTTCCGTTTGAGGGGAAAAGGAATCTGTAAGAAGATTTGTAGTTTTGTGGCTGTAAACTGACCATAAAAAGACAAAAATTAAAACACTTTTTTTGGCGAATTGCTTGACAGTTGAGCACATTTCTTTTTATTGGTGCATTCAAAACTTTGCACAAAAATGTTGTTTTTAGGGTTAAATGCGATGAATTACAACAATTAATGACATTCTTAATTACATGTCAAATTAAATAGAAACCAAAAACATGAAACTAAAACTTTTATGATGGTAAGTGAGTATTACAGCCATATTTGGAATTCATAAATACTGTCGTCATGTGTCGTAAGTCATATTTACAAAGTAGCAGCCAACCACACCCATTATCTAAGTATTTAAAAATAAAATACATCCCTACGGTATTTTCTAAATGCAACTTGAAGTAGGGATATGAGACGGAGGCTTTTTGAATATGTATGTTTGAATTGAAGTGCAACTAGGGGGAAGGAAGGACCAGAGCACAGCCTGCTGGTCGTGGACAAACATGAAGGCTTTTTTTAGTTAAATGCTGTGTGTGCACAGTGTATTGCTTTGAATTGAGGCAATCAGTTCAGTATTCTAGTGGATTGTATGGCTCTGACATGACAAATTAAACTGTAAAAACACTATAATATTACAGGTGGGATTGAGTATTTCATTTATTTTTTAATTTCCTCATAAAACTGACTTACAGTCAAAATATTTGCCATAAACCCGTGAAATCACCTAAATTTGTTTAAATCTGTCATTGTTTTAAAGCAGGTTTGAGCTGCAAAATCATTTATACACTATATATTTTGTACTTGCTTTCTTCTCCACTGCAGAAAAATGGCAGCTGCGCCCCTCCCCCCTCTCTGTCTACCCCTCGTAGTGCTCCAGCTGTGGTCAGTACACCTGGCCCATGGCGGGGCGTACTATGGACATAAACTGCCTCCTCAACAGCACCAGCCCTTGCCACAGTACAGCGATGGGTATCCTCAGCAACAGTTTTTGGGGAATGAAATGCCACACCTTCCTTACGGCAAAGAAGTGCCCTTACTGCCTCAGTATGGAAAAGAGCTCCCTCAACTGCCTTTGCAAAAGGGTAAAGGGAGGCCACTGATCGAAGGCAAAGGTGAGGTTAACTAGTTACTGTGTATATATATATATATATATTCACACACACACATTTAACGAGTAGTAGCTTTAAAGCCCAAACTGTAATATGAAATGATGAATCAGTATCACATTTTTCACAAAACATTTTACATTCAGCAGCCAAAACAGTGGAGAGAGGAGTCTCAATGCATCGTAAATTACTGGCAGTCTGAGTTTATCGCTATGGACACGAATATGGGTGGCTCAAGAAGAGCAGTGAATAGGGATCGGGATTCAAAAACAAAAGAAGTGAAAAGACACTGTGCCAAAGTCATAGCAGTATGACAGAGGGAAACCATTTTCCCCAGACTTTAAGCAGATTGTTGGTACTCAACCAAATTGCAAACTGTAATCTGTCATGGTCGTGGTATTATTACGCTTAGTTTCTGGAACACAATGCTCGGCCATTTGCTTGAGAATCTTTGACGACAGTGTTAGTCCCGCCCACGTTACTCACCGGCCTATTGTTTGTGCTTCTTTGGCACTAGAACTCGCCGATTTAGGCAGATTCTAGGGTCTAGACCCAGACAACATTGATCTACCAAATGTTCCCTCTTGTTTCCAGGACAGACATTCAACAGGGGGGCGAAAGGTCCAATTCACCCTATTCCAGGTGGAGAAGGTCTCAGAGAGGGACCACAAGGAGTCCAGGGCCCACCAGGAACACCGGGACCGCCAGGACCACAAGGCCCCCCAGGGCTACCAGGCCAGGGATTGCCTGGGCTACCAGGAAAAACAGGGCCTCCAGGTCCTCAAGGCTACCCAGGGATTGGAAAACCTGGTGTGCCAGGACTGCCAGGAAAACCAGGAGGGCCTGGGTTACCTGGACCAAAAGGGGAACTTGGTCCTTATGGTGGCGAAGGACAAACTGGACTTCCTGGGCCTCCAGGTCTCCCTGGTCCCCCTGGACTTCCGGGGATTTCAAAACCAGGAGGTCAAGGGCTTCCCGGCCAGCTAGGTCCTCTAGGGGAGCCTGGCACAAAAGGTCCACCAGGGTTCCCTGGTCTTCCAGGCCCCAAGGGAGAGAAAGGACATGATCAACCTGGTTTGCCAGGTTTGAAAGGACCTTCCGGACCACCAGGTCCACCTGGAAATGTAGGCATCCCTGGGATTGGCAAACCTGGCTTTAATGGTCAACCTGGACAACAAGGGGTACCAGGTAGACCCGGTGCTCCTGGGGAGTCAGGAAATGCAGGGCCTCCCGGTGATAGAGGTCAACCGGGACCACCAGGTGTTCCAGGTATTGGAAAACCAGGAAAAGATGGTTTAACTGGACAATCAGGGCCCCTGGGAAGAAAAGGAGAGTCGGGCCCACCTGGTTTACCAGGGGGTCCAGGATTACCAGGTTATGGTAAACCAGGGTATCCAGGACCTAAAGGTCACAATGGACATGATGGTCTTCATGGACCTCCAGGGCTAAAAGGTGATAAAGGCCATGCAGGTCTTCCAGGGGTCATTGGTTCCACTGGTTCAAGTGGTAGGCCTGGCCCACCAGGACCAATAGGGACTCCCGGTAGTCTTGGTTTCCCAGGGCAAAAGGGAGAAGATGGTGTTGGGGGACCAAAAGGATATCCAGGAATGAAGGGTGAATTAGGGCCCCCCGGTCTTCCAGGTCAGCCAGGTTCGTCTGCTGGGGGTGGACAACCAGGACCACGGGGTTTACAAGGGCCTATTGGCCCGAAAGGAGAACCCGGTATTAGGGGTTCACCAGGTGCCCCTGGTGGCGCAGGATTAACAGGATCAAGAGGAGAAGGGGGAAAACCAGGAGAGAAAGGCTACCAGGGACCACAAGGTATCCCTGGCCTTACAGGACCAGGGGGATCACTTGGACCTCCTGGGCTGCCTGGCCCGAAAGGTGAAACAGGCCTACCCGGGAAGCCTGGCTATCCTGGTGAGGGAAAGCCAGGACCCCCTGGTTATATTGGTCCTCAAGGAAAGCCTGGGCCAAGTGGCCCTAGTGGACTTCCAGGACATCCTGGGCCCCCTGGACTCCCTGGTCCTCCAGGACTACCCGCCGCATCTCCCGACCTTGGACAGATCCTACCAGTGACCGGCCCCTACACCGGCCAAAAACAAGGTTACAAGAAGCCAAAAAATGGAGGCAACATTGGTGCTAATGGCGTTGAGATGCCTGCGTTCACAGCTGAGCTCACAAATCCGTTCCCTCTCGTTGGCTCTCCTGTCGTCTTTGACAAACTTCTGTACAATGGCAATCAGAACTACAATCCCCAAAATGGTGTTTTTACCTGCAGTGTACCAGGGGTCTACTACTTTTCCTACCACGTCCACTGCAAAGGGAGTAATGTGTGGGTGGCCCTGATGAAGAATAATGAGCCAGTTATGTACACATATGATGAATACAAAAAGGGATTGCTGGATCAGGCCTCGGGGAGCGCTGTACTCCCATTACGACAGGGAGACACTGTGCATATACAGCTGCCATCGGACCAGGCTGCAGGACTTTATGCTGGTCAATATGTCCACTCCACATTTTCTGGATACTTACTGTACCCAATGTAACAAATATGTGTAAACAAAGGAGATAATTATGACATTGATGATATATTTTGCCATATATATGGTAAAACTATAGGAGGTAAAATTGTGGTTCAAGTTAAATGGTTTACAATGAGTGGGGTCAGAATAATCTTCTTTCATTACTAGCAACATATGTCATTGAATTATTCATCACATCTGACATCAGTTGTCATAATTCTTGGAATTCTACATTGCGCATTTTATTTTCTTATATCCATCCACATACAATATATAGGTGATCATGTCACGGCTGGAATAATTCCTTGAACAAAAGCAGTAGATTGAAGAATTGTTCTCAAACTTTACTAATTTTTTGCTTTACAGTTATATTCTGTATACTTGGCACATAAGAATGTATTGGTTCCATTGTAAAATGTATGTATTACCAGCTTTCAGTACACAATGCTGTATTTAGGGTCCTCTTACAGTTCTTAAGTTATTGTAACTCATTTTTTATTTGGAAAATCCGACTTTTTAATCAAAAAAAATAAAAAGATTACATCATCTAACTGTAAAAAAAGTATTTGGGATTTTTTTTTAATCCAATTTCATACCCACCATAAAATATTTTGTCCACAATTTGGAAGTTGATCTATGATTAGATTGTTGTGCTTTCTTTGTAATAGACACGGATTCTTTCAAAAGGTTTTTGTCAGTTTGTCAGTATTCTCTGTAATTTATTTGTTTGACTACTGATTATTTGATATTGTGTTTATTTCTTTTTGTTGGGATGGCGAACAATCTCAATATATGGCGGAATTAATTTCAAAATGCAGAACATAGAGATAAATGTCCTGTGTCAAAAATGTACCAGACATATTGAAAAATGTGCTCATACACATCCATACTGCCGCGCCTCTATTTTGTACTCTATTTCTCTATTTTTGTAATGTTGTAATGTGTTTTATTTGCTTGGGACAATAGTGCACAGCATCAAATGGGAAACTGCCTAAAGTATGTGAATTGTGTTTTTAGTGGTGGACTATTGGTTTATTAAAACAATCCAAACATTGTTGAACATTCTTTATTTTTGATTACATCCCATTTCAACAATGGGCTTTACACAATGGAAATGATCTTATCCCAAAAATTAGTTTTCTTTAAAGGTGCTTTCCATAACAAAATGAACCATTTGCCATTCTGTACACAGGGATATTACCACAAACCCAGTACTCTGAGTGTCATATTGCAAGTAAACATTATCATCATGCTATTTTCAGAATAATATCTATCGCATAATTGCATTTATAATTAAGTATACATTTATGTGTACATATAATATTCATTTAAATATGTTCAAATAATCCTAGTTGCTATTTTCAGAATAATATCTATCACATAATTGCATTTTTAATTAAGTATACATTTATGTGTACATATCATATTCATTTAAATATGTTCAAATAATCCTAGTTGCTATTTTCAGAATAATATCTATCACATAATTGCATTTTTAATTAAGTATACCTTATGTGTACGTATCATATTCATTTGAATATGTTAAAAGTGGGGCTTTTATTAACACAGTCATATACTTCCATGTTGCCTCATCTTTAATAATGAACCATAACTAATTTGTCAATCTATTGTGATATCAATAATCTGCAAAGTAAACAGTGACAAAATACATGTAATACGTGGAGTGGAGCAGAGAGTTAAATATTTTACGTACCTCTACTTGAGGTTTCATATTTTAAATCTTCCAAAACCACATTGAAAGTAGCCTAAATCCCTCTTTAATTGGGCAGAGTCACCTTTGTTAGCGAAAATAAAGGTTTGAAAAGTACTAAGAACCCGCGAGAGAACGCGAGAAAAGAACTGGCCAATCACAGTTTGAGACGTCACACTTCCGGTCTGTCGTCCCCTGTGAATGGGCTTTTCAGCCAGCTGGTCTCCATAACAGCGTATTTATGGTGTAAAGCTCTTTATGAACAACGGGAAATAAAGTAAGGGTTATGATACATCTTGTATATTTTCCGCTAAAAGTACGTGACAGTTTGGAACCTGAACGTTAGCTCCTAGTTCCTCCTAAGATACCTAACGTTAGCTTACAGCTACTTAGCATTAGCCCCAATGCCCAGCTAATTTAGCGTTAGGTTACTTTATTTCGTGCACACAACATGTAACGTTAAATCAATTTGCCAACATTAATTAATGATGACGTCTCAAGTTGAATTGAGTCTTTGTGGATACATTTGGACTGACATTTCAGTTCTGACGACGTGGCAGCCGTTAAACATTAACGTTACTCTTGGTAGTTTAGCAACTCAAACGTTAGCATGCTATCAAGTCACAGTATTGCTGCAGCTGTGCAGCTTGAGACATTAATTATACATTTTAGTCGAGATTATTGATTTATTTCTTTGTGGATTAGTTAGAACAACAAAGACATGTTGTGCAATCCACACTTCAGTCACGTTGTTCATATTTGTATAATTGACCCACAAACATCTTTTTGAATTTTGAGCCACTTCATCCTTGATGTTGTGTCTTGCCTACAGACAACCGCCATGGCTTCTCGAGCAGGCCCGAGAGCAGCCGGTACGGATGGCAGTGACTTTCAGCACCGGGAGAGGGTTGCTTCTCACTACCAGATGAGGTAGGCGGAGTAATTAATCAGTGTGTCAGACGTATATCAAGTGGTTACAAAAGAAAACTCAAATCTCTCGACATGAGTTCCCCTGCTATGATTTGATCCTGAGGTTTAGTCATCAATGCAAGGATCACTTTGGTTAGCTCGTGAATCTGTGACTTGTGTGTGAATGTACACGTATGTGTCCTTTGGCGCAGCGTTGCTCTGAAGTCTGAAATCCGAAAACTCAACATTGTCCACGCGCTGATCTGGGTGCTGATGGCCGCTCAGGTAACATCCCCCCCCTTCAACGTGACCGTTGTAACTGCTGTAACGCAGTATAAGTCAATGTGTCTTCATCTTTTCTCAGGTGACCGTGAGCCAGCTGAGCCTCGTGTCGCACAAGGTCGTGGCCTCTCCATACCAGTGGGAGTATCCTTACTTCCTGAGCATAATTCCCTTGGTCTTCAGCTTCTTGGCGTTGCCCCGCAACAACATCAGCTACCTGGTCATCTCCATGATCAGCGCCGGGCTCTTCTGCGTGGCCCCGCTGGTCTACGGCAGCATGGAAATGTTCCCCGTGGCCCAGCAGCTGTATCGACACGGGAAAGCCTACCGCTTCATCTTCGGCTTCCCCGCCGTGACGGTCATGTACCTGGTCATCGTCATCGCTGTGCAGGTGCACGCCTGGCAGATCTACTACAGCAAGAAGCTGCTGGACCAGTGGTTCACCGGCACGCAGGAGAAGAAGAAGAAATGAGCTGACCTTGAGGACGCTCCTCAACCCGCCACTGAACTGGTGGATCAAGACAAACTCTCAAAAAGAGTCTTTTCTATATTTATATTTGACAGTGGTAACTGGTTAATTGTTAGCTGAAAAGCATTCCCTGGACTGCCTGTCACTGCCGCCGTCATTCTGTACATTAATTCTTCATCATTCAAAATGTAAATCTGAAAATGTCGTGTGTTTATGCCTTATTTTAGATACAGGCAGACAAGTGGTACCTGGAGGAATACTGTACTCACATGTAAGTTAATGTTCTGTAAACAAATCCAAAAAGTAATTGAAATATTAAACAGGATCATTTCACTTTACGTTGCCAAAGCCAGACTTCAGAACGTGGTTTCAGTAAGTCTTCCGTTTTCAGTTTATTTGGCTCCTTCACCGTCTCTTTGGTGGTGTTTTGCAACACAGCTTCATTGCTCTCTGAGGCTGTTGTGTGTACAAACAAACCCTGAAGGACACCACATGTCCTGTGAGCAGGCTGCTAACTGAGCTAATTGTTTGCACCGCAGATCTGTAACGCATAAAACCTCTGAAATAAACCTTTAAGAATCTTCTGAGGGAGACGTTGATCATAACGTGTCTAATTGAATGATTTCTGTCGTATTAATTGAATCGAATAATCATGCAATCAAACACTAACACCGCCTGCTGCGAGGCTACATGGCTGCGAGGCTTCATGGAATGCATCATCCGATGAGATCATGCAAGTGGAAATAATTATCTCAACTCTTGTCATTTCTGTGTATGTCTTATTTATAATAAGAAATTTGATGAATTGAAGCAGTGAAAGTTTATTACGGGCAAAACAAACAGAACTTACGAAGAGCACAACGCTAGAGAAATGTACAGGATGAGAGACAGTCAGAGCTCGGCTCGGTTTGTTGTTCGCCAAAGTTTTTCGTTGTGTTGCTATGGTGATTTTACCAAACTTGCTCTGTGGAACCGACAAGGTGGAATCAGAGCAGACGTTCCTGAGCCACGCTTGGGATTCCATCCTTTCTCCTCCGGGTGCCGTGTGTTAAGAGTCAGCTACTCATCCGAGTGAGCTGATCCCTGAAGGTCAAACGTGTTTATTTCTTCTGGGATTTGTTCTCCACTCTGCTGAGGAGGAACCTCGGAGAATCCTCAGACGGGTTTGCTCCACAGGGGAGTCGGGACTGATCATCTCACGCATCAGTACTATGACCTTATTTTAACCGCAGTACTATTATAATAGTATGGAGCGGTAGTGGCTTCCAACTTTAGAATATCGAGGTTCGACTTGCTGACTCGACAAACACCAGAATTAATGTGAGGTTGCAGTGTGCGGTGGAATAGCTCAGGGGAGCAGCTGCGAGGCTGAGGTGTGGAGGGTCCTTGGTTCAAACCCCTTCTCTCTCAGATGGAGCACATGAGTGCAGTCATGGATTCGATCAATAGGCTTTGAAACGGGTTAGAGAAGCAATCTCAAGTTTAAATACGAGAAACTGATATCAAGATGCGTGTGGTCAAATAGTGCAAGAGAATGACTTGAGGGCTGCTTAAGCCCAGTCATGGGGATGAGTCTCAGCGTTTGAAAGAGTTTTGAGGTTTAACTCGCAAGCTGAAGGTTAAATAGTAGAAATGAGATCCAGATCAATGTGAGATGAGGTGGCGCAGAAGCAAAGCATCTGTCTCCAACCTCCGTTGTAGGTTGTGGGTTCAAGCCCACTTGTGGAAATGAGTCTTAGTGTTTGAAAGAGTTTTGAGGTTAAATTCACCTTCTCACGGTTAAATAGGAGAAACAAAGTTTATCTAATGTGAGCAGGACTGGTGGTGTAGTGGTGCAGGGGCCCAAAACCTCTGTAGGTGCTAGTGGGTTCAAATCCCACCACTGCCAGGTCTTGAGTGCGCTACCGTGGAGGTAGTAGTGGGGGCTTTGTCCCCACTGGTTGTTTCAGACAAGTTGAGCCTGGGGGTTATGCAAACAGAGAAGGGGACATGCCCAGAGTTTAGGTGGCATTGACAAGCATCTTTTGAATGAAGAAGTGAACTAATTGCTTTAAGCTGTATGTATTGTACCTTTTAACTTTTTTTTTTTTTCTTCTCTTTTGCCTTTCATATTTCTATTTTTTCTTCTTCCTCTATGACATTTTAGTCACAACATATTTTGAAATATATTCAAATTTCAAAGTATTTTTCACAAATCAGTTTACAAAGATGAAGAACGGGATGTGACACAAAAAATGAGAGAAAATAAAGCACAACAGAAACACCCACAGATGTTTTTTGAATGTTAAGTTTCCCAATAATAAAAAAATGATTAAGGAAGAGCCAGGCCACCCACACAATAATTGTACCAAAAGGAAAAAGGACATTGGTAAGCATCTAAACAAGTACAGATTTAGGGAATGCATTCATTTTTATAAGCTGCACTGTTACGGTAGTGACAGGTAGGTTGCTCCATCTAAGAAAATCTTTTTTTTTCATACTTTCAACCGAGGGGTTAAAGCTTTTCATCCCCCATGACATGTTTAGGGTTACAGACATGTTACATACTGACATACGTGCCATGGGATACTTTTATTCAGGTTTTTTTAAAAACATTTTTCAATATTCCGTTTTTGACTATTTTCATGACAAAGGGGAGATTTCCATGACATGTAATTGGCATATTGTAACTTTTGACTTTTGTTTTCTCCATTGCATTTTTAGACAACATATTTTGGAATTTTGTTTTTGGTGTAAGTGGAAATCATTTTACAAAAATGAAGATGAAAAGGACATGAAAATACAGGAAACAAACAAAAATAGATTCCCATTCATTTACATAGAGTGTCTGCTATAGTTAAGTAGTTACATTTAGTTAGAGTTAATCAGACAGAGTGGAAATATGAAATGAAAGGTTGCCGTTTGTGAAGTGCTCATTACAGCCTCTGAGAGCACACATTTAAAAGTCTAAATATATTAGGTCAAAACATGTGAGGTGGAAATGTCATGGGACAGATATTAGGTCAATTTTTTTTTTTAAATAATCACAGTATAGCATGTTGAACAAAGCAACAGTAGAGCATGAAACAAAGTGTAATTGTCTGCCAGCTACGATGCATGTGTTGTTTCCACATGATTCAGTTTAGAACTCTTTCAAAGCACCAAAGCCCGTCGCTTCCGCACTGCAGCGTCAGTCCGGTTGATGGGTGGAGGGCGCCACCTGGCGTTCAACACCACGAAATGCATCTATTTGAGGATGAATACAAACGCCAACTCCAAATTACCGAAATATGTTGCAAACGCTGTTTTCCAAAGAGAAATAATATTGTCTAATGTTCACCTCTTATGAATCGGTTTAATTTGACCATTAGAGTTCGTTTATTCAACTAGTGAAAGAAGTGAGCGCACAGACGTCAGCACAAGTGAGCCGTAAGCTAACGTTAGCCCACTTAGCAATGGACGCCGCGACGTGTTTATATTTGTTTGTTTGTGGTGGTTTTGTTGTTGTTGTTTTCGCCCTTCGGCCCCAGGTCGACATCATAACTCACCAGTCAGTTCATCCAACTATCTTTCTTTAAGAAGGAGGTTCACAAACAGTCGGTTGGGGGAAGTTACAGCTCAGGTGTTTGTCGGCCATTTTGGTCGCGTCATCTGTGACGCTAGTCAACCTGAGCTAAATAGTGACGTCATTACTGCGCCCGGGCCTCATCGGGGACATTTATTGAAGAATAATATAGTGTGACTTGAATAATTATCATTTGTGCACCTCCAATTTTCACGGCACTCGCGTCAAAAAAAACATATATGTGCGTTGGAGTGACTTAAATTAGTGACATTAAATTAGAAAAAAATTGTACTTCGGTCCGAGCCGCGTTGTTTCCTCTTCAACCTCCCCGTCGGCCGTGGCGTCCGCGACCCCCGGTCGACCCTCAACAAAGTGTCACTCCAAGGTTTTTTGAGAAGTTGAGAGCTCTGATAATAATATAACGTGATTTGAATATTTATCATTTGTGCCCATCACACCCGGCTCATTATTTAATTATTCGTTACTATTTTTGATTTGTGTATTGTGTAAGATTGTCAGAAACGGACAGAAAAGTCAAACAGATTGACAATATTAATGTATTTATCACTTTATTTTAACTTTGCACAAAGACGACATCATTTGACGGACACATTACATTTTAAAAAATCAACATTTTCGAGGACTCTTTATTACACAATATTTGTTGAATAAACTGCATTAAACAGTTCCAATGAGGCTGCCTTTTTTCTCAATTCCCGCTGCAAAAGAAAACACGACATAATTACACGATATTTTCACGGTACTCCTGTCCACAACAATTATATGCGTTGGTGTGACTTAAATTAATGAGATGTAACATCAGACAGAGACATGATTTACTTTTCAAATACATATAGAACTTAGTGATATTTATCACATCATGTCCAAAAAGCTGATACCGTCTTTGGTCACAAATAGAATATCACTGAGACGGTAAGCGGACTGATTTACACTGAAGAAGCAGTAATGAAAACAAAACTAATTCATGCAAGAACATCATCAAAAGTGAAGTGAGAGGACACCGTGTCGTGCTGCTCATTAGAGGTGTACGCTAAATATCAATTAATAAATGTAACAATTAAATACTGCAACAAGAAACACTGAAAAATCCAACAAGCCTTTATATTTTATCAGCACAAATACCGAATAACGGCGTCCATCACAAACTACTTAACATAGAACCAAATAGATAAACAAATGTAAACTTAAATTTGAAGTTTGAGACTAATAACAAACAGAAGCGGACGCCGAACCGAGTGGGGGAGCAGGTGCGGTCGCCGTGTCCTCCCTCTCCAACGCGCGCTCTTCTGTCCCATCCGCGCTCCCGCGCGACACATCTGCGCTGCCCGCGCACCAGCGTTCCAGATGCAGCGCAGACAGGACCAGCGGCTTAATCTGCGGGTTCCGGATGAGATGGAAAGCTGCGTCGATGCACGACGGGAGAATTATTAGCTGCGGCGCCACTAAGAAAGTGGTGGTCGTGCAGAGGGACGCCGTTGCAAAGACGATCACGCATGGGGCCAGCTGCAGGAAAAAGGTGAACAGGTAGAATGCGACCGTGCGGTTGACACGATGGTTAAGGCACTTTACGGCCCCGCTCGCCCTGAGAGATGCGTGATACACGCACCCAGAGCAGTAGCACATGGTCAGTGCGCAGAAAGTCATCAAGACAAACGGGGGGACAAACACCAGCGTCAGTTCTTCGCGGGAACACGTGATGTTCTGCCTGGTGGTCAAAGCGGCCCACTGGAGCTCGGTGGTTGGCTGCTGGGAGGCCAAAGGGATCTGGTGCAACAGCAACCCTGCATGCACGCTCATCGCCCCGCTGAGCCCCCACGCCAGCCCCACGGTGATGTGGACGCTGCGGGTGGTGACCGTGCGCAGGTAGTCGGTGCCGCGGCAGGTGAAGAGGTAGCGCTCCACCGCCATAAGGCACAAAGTCATTTGCGACGTCAGACAGAAACAGAGCAGCGTGCAGAAGTGTGCTGCGGGCCACGATCCGGGGGAGAAAACAGCCAGAGCGGTTACAAAAGTCTTCCCAACAGCGCAGGCTGATGTGTGCTGCAGCAGGATGTAGTGGGGCTGCCACAGCTGCTTCTTCGATGTCAGAAAAAAGAGAAATCCATTTGCTGAAGATGCAAAAAGGGCAGAGCCAACAAACAGGTAAAGAAATGCCTGGGAACTTTGATCAGAATAAAGAAAGTCCCAGGAAAGATAGCTGGACTTTTCCTCCACATGTTGACTGGAGTGGCCTGTGGCTGTCATGTTGGATGAAGTGTAGAGAGGGATTCAAAAGCACAATCTGAAAAAGACCAATGAAGCCGCGTGTGACTGAGTAAGAGTCTTAAACGGAGAGGGGGGGCCACGAAGTGACCAGAGGGCAGGAGAGGTGGAGGGATTGTAAACCCACTCAGATGGGTTACCGTATTTAAAGGGAGGGACGTGCTTTTTTATTTAGGTTTTATTAGAAGAACCAATAACCAAGTTTTCAGGGACCGAAGCTCCAAGGGAGGAAATTGTTCTTATGAACAAATGAGGGATAAATACTATATCATACCTTAACCTAAAAACACCTTATTAGAAACACCATGTAGCAAAGTCTCCACAAAATACTCATTAAGATTTTGACTATACTTACCAACTAATTAAGAGGATACTCACCCGGTTTGGACAATGACTCTAAAAAGAATTTCTAGCCAACATGCTAACCAGAAAAAAACAGTACGAGGTTCCACTCAAAATTAACTCCAATCTAATAAATACCTTTTTAACTCAACAAGTTTGAGGAGGAATCCCCAGAAAGGGAATTGAACAGGTAATAATGGTATCATTAGAATAATCATAAAAAGAAAAGAAAAACAGCTGTCACTCATGATTGCGCCCCTCAGTTGATGCCCCGCCCCCTACACCAGAGACAAAGTCTGAATGGGAACAAAAACAATTGACGGTGAGCAAATATCAAAAAGCCTTTAGTTTTCTCAAAAAACGACAGCGCCTTATAATCCGGAGCGCCTTATATATATGGATCAATTGGTTAATCCGTTGATCCATACTGGTTGTACACAGCGCTCAAGGCGCTCTGCCGAACATGCCAAAGCTCGTCTACGACGGCGAGATGCTGAGCGGCGCTGAAGCGCGTGAGATATGGAGCTGCTTTCAGGGCGCGTCGGAGAACAAAGCTGTCGTTCTTTCCAAGCACTTCATGAGGATTAAAGAGCGAGAGACGGCGCCCTTTTCTCTACAGTAGCTGAACCATCTTAACGGGGAAAATAAGTTGGTGGGGGGCGGCGGGAGCGGACGCACCTCGCAGCATCGATCGGACCCTGAAAGCACCGTCTCCACCTCCCCACATCCACCCGCCCCGACAGCAGTATCTTAAGCCCCTTATAATCCGGTGCTAAAACTTTGATACTGTTTTTTATCCATCGTATATCTACATCTATTCATTAGAGTGTAAATAAATTGTATGTGCATATAAACACATGTTTATTCACGCTGTATGAGGAGTTCGGTCCTCTTGTGTTGGAGACGTTTTTTGTTGCGTGTGAGTGAGTTTGTTCTTCCATGCTTCTGAAAAACTGTTTACACTTTTTCCAGTTTACTATCGCATCGAATGAATACAATCAATGCGATCCCCAGCATCAAAATGTCCGTTTAGATTGTTCCATTATCCAACTTCAATAATGAGAACCTGTTAAGGCAAAACGACAGCCGAGAACAAACTTCAAGCGTGTCTTGAGAACCAACGAGTAGCCTGCAATTTGCGGATGTTAAATGAGAAGAAAAGAAAAGTAAAATAACTCACATTCCGTTTCCAAGGAAACGCTCAGCAACTTTCACCACTTCTCTGCATCCCTGTGTGAAATCAAGACCCTTTAACGAACATTAATTAGGAAAATGTCGCCACTTAGGTGGCCCTTGAGATGAATTTGCTCACAAGCATAATCAGATGTAATTGTTACAAAATCAATGAAGGAATTCATTATGTGCTTTAGAAGATTCCGCAGTTCCGGCCCGCCGAGTAAAAAGAGCCAAACGCACAGCGTCTGTCTTTGACACCAACAAGGTGACTTTCCTTAAACAAACAAAAAACACAAAAATGGCGTCAACTTTGAACAGCGACTGAAATTTATTTGAACTAAATAAAGTCTTCATTTCACAGCTATAGGGGCCTACATAGTAAGCAAAACAAAGTCTACTCTTTGTCCATGTGCAGAACTACACCACAGGGTAGTTCAAGACGCTCTGTCGTTGTGTGAATAAAAGGTGAGAGGACAGCGGAGAGACGAACGCCACTCCTCAAGAGATCGGCTGATGAGAAAATAAATGGGGGGGGAAAGTCCTTTGATTGAGTGACTTTAGGAAGCATTTTCATGCGGATTCCTTTCACATCCACTTAGAGAGAACACGTTACAGTCTGCAAAATATTTCCTCGAATGATCATGCGTTAAAAGGCCGAGAGCTAAAGTTCTTTGTAACAAACACATAGAGACTGGATTCATTGCACTTTAAAGATGTTACACGGTAAACGTTTGCGTTACTGATATTACGGTAATCTACTTTGGAAATGTCTCATGTCGAATGCTCTGCGATTTCCGTCACGTGGCGTCCCGTCCGGTGGCGCCGCTTTCCGACTTAAGACAGCACGGCCTGGGAGTTCTTGATGCCGGCCATGTTGTCCACACTCACGGACCTCCTCATGGTCGACTTACACAGGTCCTTGTACTTGTCCTCGCACAGCCTGGAGATGGCCTACAGGACAAAACCCGGGGCATAAAAACGGTCACGACCTCAACGGGAAAACACGAGAAGGGGCCACGTTTTTTTTTTTTTAACTCACTCACCTCCAGCTTTTGGGCGCGCTTGTTGCTCAGCGGCTCCAGAGGGAAACTGAGGTTGTTGTCGTCGGCCAGAGAGCGCAGGTCAAAGTAATACTTGGCGTAGACGCTTCCCGGGACGTTGATGTTGAACTGGAGCAGCTCCAAGAAGTGGCGCTCCATCTCATTCCTGCCGGAAAAAAGAGAAAGCGGGTTCAACGTCGGCCGGCGCGTCGGAACTCGACTGGTTTCAGTGAGCTGCAGGGCGGCGCTCACATGTCCTCCACGGTCATCTCTTTGAGGATCTGGCAGTAGTCCACGTTCCACACGGCCTGGTCGTCCCACACCTTGGACGCCAGCAGAATGGCTCCGAGAACGATGCGCTTCCAGTTACACGGACAGATGTCCATCTCGGCATACGTCAGCAGCCTTTCCAGGTACACCTGACAACCCAAACGGCAGTTCACACAGGCTGCGCACACACGGCGAGCAGTGATCCAGACCTGTCGTTCGTCACCTACCAGGGTGACGATGGCACACTCGGCCGTCAGCTGAGCGGAGCTGAAGAGCGTCCGGATGAAGCGGTAGATCAGTTTGTGCTCCGGGTCGACCACGGAGTAGTTGTCCGGGACTTTCTCTCTCTGTGGGGCAGAGGACTCGTCGTCATTGGCGACTCGGCACAGAGCGAGCGTTGAGCGTGACTTCCTGGAGAGATGTCACTCATAAACTCACCGACAGAGGGTGCTTCTTCTCATCGAAGATGTCCACTGAGCGGTTTGAATCCCTGCAGAAGATGAAGGAGCCGGCGTTAAACGTGGAAACGTCTCGATTGGTGTCACATCCTGTCGGGCTGGCTGACAGAATGAGACATCGTTTGAGTTGGTTCCGCGGCTCCTTAAAAAGTGCCAACGACCAAATGGATCCAAGTGATATAGTGCCAATAGGTATAAATAACTTCAAGATCACAAACTCAGTTTCCTGACTAATTGACCAGGGTTTCAAACCCTGAAGAGTAGAGAAATGTTTCTATTTCCTGACTAACGGCCGTGAACAAAGCCTTGCTGTGACGCTAGGAATCCTAAGCTTTTCAACAGAACAACTCTCCAAGTATTAGTTCAAACATATAACAAAGGTGAATGCTCCGGCCCGTATTTCAAACTTCACCTACCTGTTCTTGATGTGATAGTATATGGCCAACGTGACGCTGAAACAAAGAGAAGACGACACACACACAAACGGTGCTGTGGTTTTAATCTTCACCAAACAGGAGCTCCTACGTAGCATTAGCATTTCACACGTCACGTCTTCCTCTCTCGCTCTCATTTCCTCATCCTGACACGTCGATCTCTTCCGTTGGGCAGGAGCGCTTGATGTCCAGAGTTTAGAAAAATTTGGTTTGTTGACTGAAATTACACATGTTGGGTGAATATTTAAATGAAAATGGGAAGAAGCACTTACCATTTGATCGTGCTCTTGAGGTTGGGCTGGCTGACCGTGCTGTCGTCCAGGAATATTGTGGAGCAGGAACTAAACTTTTTTGTCAGGAGCCCAGGGGACATCTGCTACAGGGAGGTGATAACACACATGGCACCAGTTTGAACATTTGAAATATAACTCTTGGCGTTTTACGGATGCAGTTTGCAGAGTGTGTGTGTGTGTGAGCATCCTTCTCAATCTCGCCGACTGAATAACATTCTCACTTACGTGATTTAAGTAGTTACTTTTCCTTTTCTCGCGCACTGAAACTGGGGGGAAAGAAACAAAAACTCAATCAGTTCCAAAGATTCAGAGAGAAATGAAAATAATGTTTAGCAGAGAAATACAGACCGTCTGTCTGCGACTTGTTGAGGAAGAGGGTGCTGGCTCTGGGGTGGTCGGATGGGTTGGACTCTTGGGCCAGTTCTGTGACATGCAGGCATGAAAGAGAGACATTTTAGACGTGGACGTAATGGATCTATGTGGGGAAATCCCAACGAAGAGGTCTCCAAAATACACAAAACACCAACCGTCGGGGAGCTCCCTGTCGCTGATGTGCTGCAGGTAGGTCCCGGTGTCCTCGCTCACGTCCTCGGCGGTGGTGATGGGACACTCCTCCAACTCCGCCTGTCTCCGGCGGATCTTGGGACTCTCGCCGGGAGAGATGCAGCAAGACACCGAACCTCCCATCGTCGACCTACAACAGTCCGGCTGAAGCCATAAAACTCGTGCTTGGGGGGGGAATCACTGACCAGTCCGACTGACAACAGTGGGCGTCTTGCAACGTATTCGCGCCAAAGCAAAATCCGGATGTCTGTGGTTTCAGCTGTTAAAAACCATGAACATTTTAGTCGCGCACATTAAGGCCCAGTGTGAAACCTGTACCGGTATGCGCAGGGCAGCTGACACATTCAGGGCGAGTGCGCAGCATAGCAGCGGTGCTCTCAGCGTTGAACACGAACTGCGAACGTCGGGCCGAATGCGTTTATTAGTAGGTAGTATTAACTCATTTCATGGGAAAGAAGCTAACAATACGAAGAGCTGCTCTGTCTCCCTCCATGGCTAGCCGGCTAACGCTAGCTTCCGCACCTCAATCCATTCCTGGCTGTTCGGCGACATGGCTCATTCCGTTTTCACGGCAGTTGGGGGTCGCACCGGAAGGTGAACGTGAGAATTCACGAACTGGATACAGCTCTGAAGATGACTAAGTCAGCGGAGAAGTGGCGACAATTGGAGTTTTTGATAGATAGACAAAGTTAGCTCTCATATCGTCGCATTCAGGCGATACGTCTTGGACGTCAAATCCACCGAAGAAGTTCAGAGGTCATTTCCGGCTATTGCTTTTCAAAGTAAAAGTCCGCAGTTTTTTTTGTGTGTGACAGTCATCATAAAAAGACCGGCAATAGTTCTCGCTATTGTTGCATGTCAAAAATAAAAGCTTATGACACAATACGGACCAAACAACTGCCCAAAGGAGCAGAAAACAGCACGCTTACAGCCTCCACCATGTAGCGTCCTTTGTAGATCCATATATCTTTTAAAACAACGCTTCCTCACGTAGTCACGGTGGCCGAGAGGTTAAGGCGTTGGACTCGAAATCCAATGGGGTTTCCCCGCACAGGTTCGAATCCTGTTCGTGACGATCTTTTGTGTTGCTTTACTGTCGACGCTACAACGATGTAACGTTTTTTAATATGCGATTCATATTTGGATTAACGATCAACTGCAGAATTACTCTACACAGATACATTTTCACTGGCTAAACGGGAGAAAGAGATCACTTACATATTTCCTGAAATATAGTTTGTAAATGTAAAACCACCATCTACATTGTGCTGCCCACTTTTAACTCGGAGGGGTCTCAATATTCTATTCTATTCTATTTATTTAAACAATTATGAAATGAGCAAACACTTGTGGTTATATGCTCTTCCTTTTGACTAGGGCTTCACTGAAGTGTGTCGTACACATCGCCCCTTTGCATCAAGAGTCCACCAAACCTCAAATTCAAAACAGTTGTTTTAGAAAATGGCCAATTTACACAATAGAGGACAGTATCTGAGGTTGGTTGCTTTAACAGTTATTTTATTAGAGTTTATATGATCACAGATCCACTATTTTACACAGGTTGCTGAGAAAATACATACATTTAATATATGGAAACTGGAGTGTGAATAATGAAAAAGAGAGGGAACGACTGGAAAGTTGTTTCCCTCTGTTTTTCTATTATTAACAATCCAAGGAGTCAATGTTAAGGCCCCATATTTTGTTAGTTAGAATAAGATTAAACCCAACGATAGTAAGCAATGATAAAACCTGTTTTGAATTTTTCTTCTGGAGGTAAAGTTTAGTGCACACCAACTTTCACAAATATGAACGATATAATTTACTAAAAACCACAAGCCTTTTGCCACTTGGCTTGAACAGAATGACCCTTAATTGTAGGACGTCACGCTGGGCTCAAAATAGAGCTGAATCATTTGAAAAGGTAAGAGTTTTAAGTGTGGCTTTAGAAATATGATTGCACCAGGTGGTGTCGTCATGCTCACGGCGAAGGGAATGGAAGAATAAAAAGGTAGAAGAACCATTAGTCACAGTGTGTTTCCAGCTATATCAGTAGGTAACAATCTTAAAAGGTTCACATGCTGTCAGATCAGAGAGAACTATTAATATAAAGTACAGATTCATATCCGGCCTCTTGGCTCTGTGGAAGAAGAGATACTTCCCTTAGTTTCATTTCATCTTTGTTTATGATGCTTTTGTAAATTCCTTGCTGTCATTCCTTTCCCAGAACCCCCTGTCAAAGACAAAAACTCATTTACATTGATCAACCAACCTCTGGTAGGTACAGTCAGGTTCCTGTTAAGAACTGGCGCGCACAGAGACTCATTAAATCAATCAACCGGTGTTCTTTAGAACGGACCTACAAATCTCTACAGACCTGTGAGCTGGGTACTATGGAGCTACTCAGCCCCTGTAGTGATCATTTCGACCTCCCTCGTTCGCCCTGAAAGCTCGGTCAGACGCCCGTCTTTTGAGTAACTTCTATTTTATTGCCTTTGTATGATCATGGCCACACAGCACTCTGGCCAGACAGAATTCACAGCCTTGTTGTGAACTTCGGCCTCCACTGCACAGTGAATAAAGCTCCCCTGAACCATTTGACCTTGTTGAAACTTTTCTTCAACAGCCCCTTTGGATGTACAAAGACAAAATTTACCCCAAAATCCTTATATTATATCCATTTCTTTACCCGCCTACATACTGAAACCATCCGTATTCCATTCTCCCTAATCATCTCTCTACATCGGTTTATCCATGAAACATCTTTCTACCGAAAATGATCATCTCTTGCTGTAAATAAATCCCCCGAACGGGCACATTTTCCTTGATTGTCTTGAACACGCACTGTGGTATGTTTGAAATGTATCATAAACACATAAAATGGGCCACCACATTAATAACCTGGATCTGAAAATAGTCCCCAGATATTCAGCTGCTTGAGTCGCATAAAAACAGTCCATTGCCATTACAAGAAGTTACTGAGCCTTTTTTAAAAATTAAACTATATCTTTTTGACATCTTCACTGGGACCAAGCGGAATTTATTGTTGGTTGTGGGTTTTCATGGGATTTGGTGCCAACAAGAAAACTATCGACTAAAAGCAGCCTTCCACTTAAATCCACAATAGATCCCTCCTACTTTAATCTTACGAGCTCTCTGTGGCGATCTGATCCAGTCCGAGTCCAGTTCAACGAGCAGAACAAGTGGAATGACCAGGATCCGTTGAGGAATCGCCCATCCGGCCGTTACGACACCCGGCTGGAATCAGACGTCTCTCCTCCGGCTCTGCAGCTTCCCCCCGGCTAGAAGTCGGGTGTCGCAGTAAATATCGTCCCGTGGTCATTTTGTGACCCGTGCTGTAGCTCCCTGGCAACCTGCATACCATCCTCCCGCCTTCCCGCTCGAGGCGTCTCCGTGCTCGGACACGGGCGGCGGGGGGGAGGTGCGGTGCAGCCCCGGGGTCGCCTTTTTTCCGCTCGCGGGCAATCGAGGGAGCGGGCGTGCTTCAGTAGCGCCCCCGTTGGTTCGCCCGGGACATGGTGAGCGGCAGAGACACGGAGGAGAGAGAGGAGACCTCCCAGTAGAGAGAGCGGGACAGGAAGAGCTGGTAGAGGATCACCATGGCGATGGACTGGCAGAGGACGACGCCGATGGTCACCACCTACAGAGGGAGAGGCGGCATGTGGCGACGTCAACGGACGGAGGCAGAGGAACTGGTAATAAAATAAATACCGGCACTGCTCCTGTGTCCTTTGCATTCTCCGTTAATGACGGTAGCTGCTTCTTTAGCCCTAGAAAATGCTTTTGAATTACCTTAAAATGCACTCAAATCCTGTGGTGCAAAGCAAACTTGATTTAGCTCATGGAAGAAAATTAGACAAAACTGCATTAATTCAACTAAGAAAACACTGCAAGGACGAGTTAGTTATTGTGCTTTCTCTGCACAAGAAGAAGATTATATCAAATGCAATCCAGTGATTTGAATATGTGGCTTTAGGAACAAAGTAAACGGTCCCTCCAATCGACGTAGACCTCCACTACGGTGACAACGGTCACATTCCCCTCCCGGAAAACCCCCCCAGCTCAGACAGAGGGACGTGGTTCGAACCTTCTCCCTCTGGTACTCGTTGAAGACAGCCGACACGAGGAAGAGGACGGGGTGACAGAGGAACCACAGGAAGCATCCCTGCAGAGAACACCGGGGGAGACCGCGTGACCACAAGGAACGCTGTGGGCATCTGGTGCGCCTGGAAGGGTCCGGCGGCGTAGCGCGGCCGTTACCTTGGCGAAGCAGAGGTAGAAGTCTCTCTTCAGGGTGCTCCTCTCGGTGGAGGTGATCTGGTAGAGGACGGAGGCCAGCAGCAGGGCCAGGACCACCCTGAGAGCCATGAGGAGGAGACCCGCGAGACTCTGCTGCACGTGGTCGCTGTGACGTTGACTCTGGGACTCGAAGCACTGCTCCCACAGCAGCAGGGCTCCCTAAAGAAAACGTCTCGGATGTTTTCACAGCAAAACGACATTCGGAACAAGTACCCGAATGGTTTCACACGCTCCCAGCTTTACGCTGCGTACCTGCAGGACGCCTCCACCAACAGCCACCGCTGTGGAAGTCGGAGACCGCTCCCACTGCAGAGGTCTGGACTGAGGCTTCCTGCCGCGGCCCAGAGTCCAGCCCACGCACATACTCAGCAACATGTACAGCACGGACACCTGGGCCACCATATCCCAGACTGCACAGGGACACGGGGAATGAATGAGAGAGAGAGAGAATGAGGAAAGCCACATTAAAACTAGGGTCCGATTACAAATTCATCCGAAATGAAAGGTCGGCTATGTTAATAAACTGGGGCTATAAAGGGGCGCTTATGAGTATACGTGTTTAATAGGGAGGAACATACACTCTGCCAGGCTGCCCATCAGAGGAATACCAGTCCCATCTCTGGAATACCTGCACAACACATGAGTTAAATACAGAAAGGGATCAAACTGGTCGCTGGTTAGCGTCGACTGCACAGATCCCACCTGGCCAGGTGGATGTAGTTGCAGAGAGCGGAGCAGCCCTGCAAGGCCAGCGCCGTGGTCAGCACCCTGAGGACAGCGTGCATGGGCCCCCCTTTCCTCAGAGCCTGCCACAGAGGCCGGCAGTAGATGCAGCAGGCGACAAAGTAGGCCAGCAGCAGCAGGAAGTAGAAGCCGTGGAGACCTGGAGAGTATGACGAGTCAAAGGGGCAAACACCACTGACGCAGATCACTCAGGGCCGATCGCCGGCCTCTACCAAAGTATCTAAGATGCGACGGGTGGGAAAACCATTACGCACTTCCAACCATCTGCATATTCAGGGACTTATTGTTATCACCCCCTACTTAGTGGCATTAATAATTCAACATGGAATGCCCCCGGTGTGTGACAGCGGTCGCCGGAGCGTCTGACCTGCCTCCTCGGCGCTGAAGTGCTCCAGAGGATTGCCGGCCGAGTCGGGGTTCAACAGCAGCACGGTGAAACGCAGATCGGCGTGCTGAGGAATCACTGCACCCTCCTGGACACACGGGACGGGACAAAGGACGACGAAATAACTGTGCGCCCTTTGTTCAACTCGGGTTTAAGTCCATTTGTGTGTGCGTGTCGGGTGGCGTTACCTGACATGTGTATCGGTCGGCGTACAGCACCTGCCAGGTGGTCGGAGAGGACAGACGAGGGATCGACTGGTTGTGTTGCTCATCGCTGAGAGGAACTGAGGTGGGAGGACAAACGCAGCGAGGTGAGGGGGGGGGGGGACCGCTTCAGGTGCCCGCGTGCGAGTGGCTGCTGGTTCTTACGGGTGAACTGAGATTTCTCGAGCCTCTCGGAGCAGCTGAGGTCGTCCAGGTCCGGGTCCATGTCCTGGTACAGCAGCAGCCTGGACTCCTTCTCCGAGGCCAGGGCAGAGTTCTCCAGCCGGCACGCCAGCAGACCGCCATCGCCTGCGGGGACACGGGTCAACACTCAATGGGTCAGCAATATGCTGGATGGACTCGTATATAGAAACACAGATTGTGGGACCAGAACGGGAGCTGTTGTGGTGGTTAAAGTAGGCTGGTTTGTAGCTTTTAGGGTTTAAAACAGTGTCCTTTCAGCAAGTGACACAAACTAGAAAATGCATTTCCTGCAGAAAATGCGCTGGAATGCTGAACGCTTAAAGCTGAAAGCTAAAAGCTAAAATGAATTGCAGAAAATGCAGAAATGAGAAAAAACTAAATGAATTTGAAAAAATTGTATTTGTAGTAATATTAGTAGTAGTAGTTATTGTGGCACTGGTAGTACCTGCAGTAGGAGAAGTAGTGGTAGTTTTAGTATCAATTGCAGTTGAAATACTAGTAGTAGTAGTGTGAGTAGTAGTAATATCAGCTAGTACTAATGCTATTAGTCATAGTAGTATTTGTATTTATATTAGCATAATAAAAGTACAAGTGCTAGTTTTACTTATTTTATAGTAGTAAGCATTTACGAAAGCCAGGTTGCTTTAATAGTTATTTCATTACAGTTTGGTGATTTCCAGGTTGCGTTGTAATAAAATAACTGCATGTAATTTAGAGAAACTGGAGGGTGAACAGTGAAAAAGAGGAACTGTACGAATGTTTCTTTGTTTTTACATTTATTAACGTACGTTGTAATATCTTATAAACCAAGAACTCAATCCCCATATTTTGTTAGTGATTATTAGATAGGTAATTAACATACAATGACACACATTCTGAAAATCTTTTTCTGAAGGGAAAGTTTAGTGCACAAAAAATACTTGAATGGGATGTAATTTACTGACACCGCAGGCCTTTTTTGGCACTGGGCTTTTACGTTTAACGACCCTCAATTTCACATGTCACATCGGGCTCAACAGAGAGCTGAATTATTTGAAAAGGTAAGAGTTTTACATGTGGCATTAGAAATGTATTTGCGCCATGTGGTATATAGTCCATCTCAGGATGAAGGGAGTGAGGTAGGTGAGCACAATAAAAGGTAGAACAGCCATTAGTCAGCTATATCGGTAGGTAACAATCTCAAAAGGTTCACATGGTGTCAGCTTAGAGAAGAAAAACATGCTTAAAAGTACAGCTTGACATGTGGTCCCCTTTCTTTTCCTTTGGCCGGAGAGAATTACAGCTTTGTTGTTCACTTCGGTCTCCACTGCGCAGTGAATGAAGCTCATCTGAACCTGCCACAGAATTTGACCTTGTTGAAACTTTTCTTCAACTCAGCTCCCTTTGGAAGTCCAAAGACAAAAGTAACCGAATCCCTGTATTCAAAGGCTCATTGATTCCATTTCTTTACAAACCATCTGTACACTATTTTAACTAAGTGTCCATTCGTCTAAATCATCTCTCCACCTCCACTTTTTTTATCCATGAAACATATACTTCTCCCCGCATACAGACCCATTGATCTTCCCATATTGATCTCCATTCTTGCTGTAAATAAATCCCATAAAAGGGCCCATTTTCCTTTGATTCCCTTGAACACGCACTGTGGTATATTACATAGTACATATCACACATAAATGGGCCACCAGATTTATCAACAAATTAGTCTCAAACAGTTTCCAGCTGCTTCAATAACTTTACTGAAATTACCGATGAAGTATTTGTAGCACTATTGGTCCAATCCAAAAATAAGTATTGGATAATTAAGAATAAGTATTTTCCGAGAGCCAAGACTGACGCAGTCATGTCCTTTATATGTCTGTGCGGTCAGAAGTATGACCCCTCTGGCAGTGCGCCAACGTGTGCCTCTTGTTTTCTGAGAAATGTGTTTGGCATTGGTCCCCGTGGAGCCAGAGTTGGACTTGGTCTGGATCATGGGGGTTCCTTATGTCTGTTGTTTTCCATAGCCACATGTCTTCCACCAAAATTGTGGCAATGCGGGACAAATGCGTGAAAAATAGAAAAATGTTTTGAACCAGATTCTGAAGCTGCTCTCCACTCTAGTTGTTCAGTCTGCCTCATACACACCAATGCAACTCTCAGAAACGGTCTGAAGAACTCATGAAACGTCAAATCAGTGATATTGAAAAAATGTGAACTAACTAACTAAAAATGTTGCTTTTGTCAAAATTTTAAAGTTGGTTAAAATGGTGGCTCTAGCTGAAAGACTGAGGAAGAAGAAGTTTAATATTTGAATAAGAGCTGCATTAGAAAGCCATGTTCATTTTTTTAACTTATATTAATTCAAGCTTAAGGGGTAGAAAGCTCCCCTCTCCTGAAGGAGTTGGATTTTCTAAATAGCTGAACGGTTTCTGTATCTTATATGTGAAGGAGGAGAAGCAGTCGAAAGTATAAAAAGAAGAATAAAGCTTAGAAGAACAATAGTTGGAATGCAGCACTCAACATTAAACAATAAAAACTCTACAGGAACAAATCAACTGGAACAAAGGAAGATGATTCAAAGAGTGCAGATGTGATCCGACAAAGTGATGCTGACACTCTTGTTTACGTACAGTGGTTGAATGATTAACAAAATCATTCGCTTCGTTCTCACGTGACGTCATGTTTAAAAATGAACCGCGGGACGACGTCACCGATGAACCGACACATCTTTGACGTTACCTTGGTACATGAATTTGGTGATGAGCTGGCCCTTCTGCCGTCTCGCCGCTTCGCTCTTAAAAAGTCCCGTCACAGTTTTCGCAAAAGCCCCCGAGGCGAGCAGCGACGCAACGACGAGGGGGGCCAGCAGACGCGACATCTTCACCCTCTGCGTTATCGACGGGATAAACGTTATCTGACGAAATCAATGAGCCACGAAGCCAGAAGCGAGCGAGCGAGCGGCGTCAAGTTGCCCTGGGTTACCGCAGACGAGACCGGAAATCAGGCGTTTGTGCGCTCAAATAAAAGGACGTCTCACTCTGTGCAGTGTTAATCATTCTTGGTGGACATTGGCGTAAGAAAAAAGAAAAGGATAAAGTTGGAGATATTATTAACTTTGATAATATTGCATCAAACTGTAAAACAATAAATTACCTAAAAGTACATCTTTTACGCCGTGTTTCAAACAGTAAAATAAGCGTTGTAATAAAAACTATGTAAACCTTAGAAAAACCTTACCTAAATGTTTGGTGCTTTTATTTTGCTAATACACTGTACATCCATCACAGCTCACTTGACACTGTTGCCTCGCAAAGCCGACACGATAGTTAGACAAAGCGACCAATCAGAGAGCAGAAACGAGTCTGCGGACGTCAGATGTCACGCCCCTTTCAACGTGTCAACACTGCCGTAAAACAACCGGTGCCTGTCGCAAATAACGCAACGTATCCAGTGTATTGAGGCCGTCAGAGACACTTACCGTTTCCTGTTAGCGTTCTGGTTTGACATCTGAATATAAGACCGAAATAACTGTCGTCTTCCCGTCGCTAGGATACCTTAAAATAAATGGACTGCAGCCAGTGTTCAGGGATACCGGAAGATGGACTTCAACAGGAAGGTGCTGGTGACTGGAGGCTCTGGATTCATGTGAGATTGTTATTGAAGACATATTTACTGAAAATGTATCTTGTCTACGGTTTTTATGATCCGCAGTGTGCAGTATTTGAAATCTATGTGTTATCAGGCGTTTATAAGCATAAAGTAGGAGGTAATTAAAATACTCAAGCACAGTATAAGTACCTCTAATGTTTTCTCTCTCTCTAGTGGCTCCCACCTGGTGTGTTCGCTGGTCGACAGACACCCTGACTGGAGAATCATAAACCTGGATAATGTGAGTCTGGTTGTGACACCGTAGCTGCACGCATGTCAGCGTGTACTGGAGCCTCTTCCCTTGTGTCTGATCTCTTGCAGTTGGACTACTGCTGCAGCCCCAGGAGCCTGGAGAGTGTTGAAGGCAGAGCCAACTACACTTTCATCAGGGTGAGCGGCTGCCGTTAGAATTATACAAATCGAGCTCAAATGGAGTAAACATATCTATTGTTTGTTATATTCATAAAGAATGACGTATGGAGGAACACGTTTCTGTTCATCCAGGGGAAGAGGGGCATTGGTACTTTTACAATAAGTGTCACTATTAAGATCCTCTTTCTTCATCAGGGGGACGTGTGCAACTCACAGCTGCTGAATCACATCTTCAACACAGAGAACATCGACGTGATCTTTCACCTGGCGGCCAAAACGCACGTCGGTGAGTAGCGAGTCGTCCCGACCGAGGTCGCTCCCGCCCCTGACTGGCCGACCGCACGGGCCTGCCGCGGTCCCCTTCACGCGACGGCCTCCTTTTTGGTTTCAGAGTCGTCGTTTGAAAGTCCGTCCGCCTTCCAGCGCGTTAACGTCGACGGGACCAGAGTTCTGCTGCGAGCCGCCCACCAGGCCCGACACCGGCCACAGCGCTTCATCCACGCCAGCACCGACGAGGTGTACGGAGCCAGCCTGGACCAGGTCAGTGCCCCGGCGGGTGGGTGTGTGGACATTGTGGTTTTGGAGTCATTGATGGATGTGGATATTTATGCGTGCAGGTGTTCGATGAGAGCAGTCCAGTGAGGCCCTCCAACCCATATTCTGCCACGAAAGCAGCTGCAGAGTACCTGGTTCGATCCTACTGGGACACGTATAAGGTACGCACACACCTGAACAGGCAGACACCTTCATCCAGGTCTTGTTCCTCAAGAGTTGTGTGTCTGTTTCACCAGTTTCCCGTCATCATCACCAGAAGCAACAACATCTACGGGCCCAGACAGTTCCCCGAGAAGGTACAGCACGACGACATTCCTAGATTTCTATTTTGGGGCAAACAAGTGGCCATGGGCAAGATATTAGCAGTGTTAACAAACTTTAACAAAGGGAGCGCCAATGTTTTCAGGTCATTCCGAGGTTTCTCGCCCTCCTGCAAAGGAACAAGAAATGGTGGGTTTGTTTGAGCTTTATTTTGAAGAGGTTTCACTGAGAAACCAGCCAACTGAGGTAATCTTGTTTGTTTTTTTTGTCTGCCCAAGCACCATCCAGGGAACTCTCCCTAAATCGCGACATTTCCTGTTTGTCGACGACGCCGTCGATGCCTTCCTGCTGCTTCTGGAGAACGGCGTTGTGGGAGAAATCTACAATGTGGGGACCAGCTGTGAGATTCCCATCGTGCACCTGGCCAGGGAACTCGTCAAGATGGTGGGAGCGGTCCTCCTCAATCAAACACGTGTTGGGAAAAGTAGAAAAGGTTCAGGAAAACTCAGTGCGTTTGTTTTATCAGGTCAAGAACGTGCCGGACTGCGAGGCGAACGACTGGCTCGAGTTTGTCGCTGACAGGTGAGTAAAACTAGTGCCGCTACAAGATTGGTGATGCTGTATATTTAGAGGTTATTATTGTGATTGTAAAATCCGCTTTCCATCTTGACCTTTGATCTCCGCCCCGTAGGCCGCGCGTTGACCTCCGCTACCCCATCAAATGTGAGAAGCTGCAGCAGCTGGGCTGGAGGGCGCAGGTGTCCTGGGCTGAAGGCATCAGACAGACAGGTGAGGAGGAACAAAACAGACGCACCATCGCGCCCTAACTAACAACAGGTGTCTCTACGAGATCTTTCCCTCCTCACACCAACCGGAGGATTCCCTGTGCTTTTGCGTCTTTAAGTGAAATGGTACCAAGACAACCCGGACTTCTGGGTGGACGCAGGAGAGGGCCGAGAACAGATCAGAAGCCGGCTCGAAGACGCCAACGACTTAGTGGGGAACGCTTCATTTCTCGGCTCGTCGTCGGACCAACGGAGAGGAGGAGGAGGAGCAGCCTCCCTTCAATCGAAGCCTTGAAATGACTGATAACCAGCAGCACTCGTGCGGCGGATCCTGAATGTACGGCGACGTCTACAGCGTGGGACTGATCTTTGCTCATTTCCTTGAGTGCCTTTTACTTCACGGTTCAAACTGGAGCTTAACTCTGAAAATCAGTGACAAAATATTAAAGTATTTCCTTCGCAAGCAAGTTACTCTGACGTGAGGAAGGCCGCGGGAAACCAGCTGCTCAAGTGCACGTAAACTCATCAGCAAATTTCACATGTTTGTCAGCGGCCTTAAGGGAGAAGGGAACGCCAACCATTTGTTTTATAGACATTCCAATGATGTTTTTGACTGAAATAAACTTTGATATTTAATAACTAAACGAGGTGCTTTGCATTTGAAATCACTTAGAAGACACCATGTTTACATTTGCAAATCCAAACCTTTATTTGTGGTAAAATCAGAATAGATGCACTTTTTTTTTTTCTTCGTGCAGTGCTCCTCTTCGTGCACGTCTACTAAACTAATACACAAAGCAAATACTAACTACCAGGCTGGAGGTGCTGTGTGTTCACATTGGGGGGGGAGGGTCTGGCCAGTCAGCAATGGTGACAACACTGCGCCTTTATCTCATTTCAATTCAGTCACTAAACAGCAACCACTCCTAAATACAACTACACACCTCTACTGTAATAACACTCTAGAGTATATTGAATTGAAAGTCAAATAAAGCTGCAGAGTCTTGATTTTCTTTGGTGTCCCAACGTTGTTTCCCAGAATGCCTTTGGTCATGAACTAGACACAAGCTGTGAGCTCATTGCAAAAATGTTTTGATGCGCATACGAAAAAAAGGTGACAACGTGTGCACAATATCCGTCTCGGTCATTGATCGTGGGTGTGGCCGGGGCCACATTGCATTCTGGTCCGTTGGGGCTACCGTTAATGGACCCGTCCCTCTGCAGAGGGGCTGAAGCTGCGATACCATGTTGTATGGATCAGCTACTTGCGTTAAAGACGCACGGATGGACGTCGGCAGGTCGTCCTTTCCCCCATTTCTGATTGGCCAGAAGCTCCCACACATGAGCGTTTACACACTGACGCCTGAAAATATGCAAATCACAACAACATAGCGATAGAACCACAGTTAATTCTGTGTTATGAAGACTTTAAAGATCACCACTTGCCAGACATTCACAACAAGGGTATTAACGGGAAGGAAAAGTGTAAAGACTCAAATGAACAAAAAAAAAAAAGACAACAGAAAAATAAACATCTGACTTGGAGAGAATCTGGACACTTGTTTTTTGTACTGCATGTTTGTTTTTTTACAAAATGGTCTTTGATCGTAACGTTTTGTCAATGTTATTATTTTTTATTAATCCAAACCTTGGCATATATGGCGGTATTGTCTCAAATTTTGTCTGCCAATTAAAAGTGGCGGTTGACGTTTGATTTTCATTATTGGCAATGGAACCTGTCGCACAAACAGGCGTATGGATCTGATACGGAGTCCAATGTGACTAAAGGTCACCGCGTAGGACCTCTCTCCTTATATGTCAAACGCATCCACTGTAATAACCGGCCGGGCTTCACTCTGAGGCCTCGTGTGACTTATCGTACCTCGTATGGTTGGAACCGACACGTCGCATGCTTCTTTAAAACCAATGTTTCTACTGACGAGGGAGGAATAAGAGGGCTGCTGCGACCTCGACTGCTATCGAGGTGCCAGTTTAGCTCATTAAGTCCAAACTGTTTGAACGGCCTCAAACAGAGAATTGGTGTTTGGGGCTTTTTGATAAACGTGATCTGTTTTTGGCACCGGTGTCGCCGTTTTTCTGTAGTCGCACGTAAGCCCCCCCCCCCCCCCCCGGATGCAGCGGTGACACATTTTAGGAGAAATCCCTACACATTGCATCTTTAACATTAAAAAGCTCACACTACCCCAGAAAAATAGAAATTTTCACTCATACCAATGACATTCAACATTCAAGTGCCAGTGTTTTTGTTTACGGTCTTTTGGTCAAGTCACTTTGTAAAATATCAACTTTTGTTTTAGGCTTATAAAAATAAATATTTCTCAAAAATGCCTGATAAATTACACAAACTAGCAGCGAAAGTAGACTCGAGAACTCTGTGTGCAAACAGCTGATTCCTGCGGTTGCTGATAACGACGACTCCACCTGGTCCCAAAAAAAACGGTTTCATATCCGGAGGAAAACACGCGCACGCGCACGCGCACACACACACACACACACACACACACACGCACACGCACACACGCACACAGAACCTCTCTTTTTGACCTGGCTGCGCTACACTCACTCCTTTGAAGCACTCGGACCACAGAAGACTTTAGTCCAACACCCGACCAATTTTTCGGTGGAACCCGATGGGAGCGTAGCACCAAGAACGGTTCACTCACAATCAAACGTCTCCGTCGGTAACCGTGGTGACGTGGAATCTTTCACAATGGCCACACAGTCAGTGACGGTTGCCATGGCAATGCTGTCTGCAGTGTAACCAACTACCATCTTCCTCTGTTGGGGCTGGGTATCACCCTTGAATTTAAGGCCACAAAAAAAAAAAAAGGTTCTGAAAATATTAAAAAGGTGCTGGAATCCGAAATGAGAACGTTTCTCAGATTAAAGAAATGGAGCATAGTCTACTTTTGATCCGTAAAGCTGGTGGTCCAAACAAATGTAACATTTCAACTCGTTCACTGCGGAGGCAAAGAAAAACAAGGTAAACAAGGCCAACAGCTGGAGACTGTACAGGCTGTACATGGCACAGCTAAATGCGGCTCATTTTTGCTAAAGCAACTTCTTCCCTGAATCCATTCGTGCAGTCGGTCGCACAACAGCTTTTGAATGTCGCCACGGGGTCTGGACGCACCCCGCTGGGGCAAGGAAGGTGGGGGGGGGGGGGCGCTACACATTTCTATAAGAAATCGTTAAGGTATTGAAAAAGTACCCAGCCCTAACCAGCGCGCCGGGTCTTAAATCAGTAATTGCAACACTTCAAGGCACCGCGCGCACGGCCGACTTTGGGCTGGCTTTTTTCCGTCTTTTCTTCTCTTCGCTTGTGCCAAACGGCCTGGGTGAAAGCAAAGTAATTGTCCATTGCACGTACTGCCGAAGACGGGGGCGGGGGGCCCAGTGGTGATGCTCCAAACACAGCTCAATAGGAATTCCAGAAACCACCTGCAGCTCAAGTCTCGCAGCACATCAGCCATTCCCTCACACCTCCATCGCTTCACGCGGCATCTGATCCTCCTGAACGGGCCGCTGGTGGCGTCTACAAACTGGACCGGATCCATTTGAGCGGCTTCAATTCTCACTATTGGCCTCCCGTAAAAATAAAATTAAAAAAATAACGCCGCGGCAAAACCAGCATTCTAACATTATTACTAAAACACAAGAAGCCGCCCTCGCTGCATACCGAGTTTCTGGTTGGCAACCGCCATGGATTCAAATAACAAATGCCGACAACATCTCCTCTCACACGGGGAACAGGACAGCGCCAGCTGACGATTCAGTCGGGCGTTAAAACCGGGTTGTTCAGTCGGTATTTAAAAAAAGGTGGACAGAATCGGAGCGCGTATTCAACGGCGAGGCCCGGCCTGCCCGAGCGGATCCGTCTCCCGGGGGAGGTTGGAGGTCTAAAATCTGACACGGGTGTGACAGATTCAGGTGTCCCCGAAATCCATTAAAACCAGCGTAACTTTAGGAGTTATGCTGGTGTGTGGAGTCAGTCAAACTAACAGAATCCCTCATATTTGATTGTCATGTCCAATGCTATCTTCAACTTGTCCTGCTGCTGATGTTGCTTCTTAAAATCAGCGACGGCCCCCCCGGCTGCGGCGCACGCCTCTGCTCAACAACTCCATCTCCAGTCCAACGGGGCGAGTGTGACCACACAGAGATCACGCTAACCTATTCACTGCGTGGCGCCTTCCGCTCAGCTTAGGGGAGCAGTCGGACGCGGTGGCGTCTCGTTTCCCGTCTCTAACATTGCATCCTTCGACAACTGTCCGTTAAGGGCCCCCTCCCGAAGGGGATCCAGATTTGGTGAGAGATAGCATAGCACTGTCTGCTTGAAGCTTCACTGGAAACTCAAAATGAGGCTCCTCCAACCTCCCCACCCGCTGAACTCAAGGGAAATAAACTGCCCTGAACACTAAAAATCATAAGTGACGGGAAAGAAATCAGAGTCGTAACACAACTGAAGCCTGCTGTAGAATTGTTTCTATTTGCTTGGCATTTTTTTTAACTCCTTGACCAAAAAAACAACAACACTTGCATATGTTTTATTGTCTTGGTCCAGCCTTGTCATTTGTCAAACCCGGTGGGCAGTTTGAAGGGAACGACATCATTTCCCATCAACCGTTTGGATTGGTGCAAACATTTCCTTAAATAATATCTCAAAAGAATAATTCTGCCGACCGGTTGTCAAATTGCCCACCGAGCTGGTGACCCGACACTGGTCCAACGTCGAGTGATCAAACGTGATTTTTCTACACAACGTGTGCGGTTTCACTTGTAATTCACATTCTTTCTCACCGGAGATTCTTCTCTTTTGGATTTAAGAAGAGTTTAACTATTTACATTTAATCTACATTTTTTACTTCAACAAAGTTATAAATGTAAACAAAACAAATTAACACCATGATGGAAATGAACAATTTCCCCCTCCAGGTGGCAGCGGAGCATTTTGGGGCTTATTTTGCTGCCGCGTTAATCCTGACCTCGAGAGATCGTGACAAATAAACTGGAATGACTTATATTTTAGAGAAGACTCTCCAGGATAGAGTGAGCGAGACATTTGTGAACTCTTTAAGCTTTTTTTAGTTTTCGATCCCCTTGAAGGAAGCTTCGGGTCGGAAGCGCAGCCCGTTTTCTCAAAAAGCATGGCGGCACCGAGTCGCCGAGCGGCTCGCTTTCAACCGCGGCCGTCTTCGGCAGCGGCCACGTGGCGATGTTTAAAGTCTACAGGCCTCCGTTCTGCGAGCGCGCGTCCGAGCGGTAAGGGAAGTGACATCTCGTGACAGCTGCCACGCGACGAGGACAGAGTCTCCCGTGGCAGCTCAGTGGCACGACGGGACCCGACAACTGGTGACAAGATGCGTTTGGGCGGGACTCGGTTTTCCCGAAACGCGCGACGCCACTGTGGTTTCCTCCGCGCACCGGACCGCTTCTGATTTCAGTCCCTCGCGATGAGGGTTTATCAAAATGACCTAGAAATGGGGTTACAGTGGTAATGTGCTTCTGGGAATCAGCTCATCAGAGACCCGACAAATTTGAACTCCATTCGACAGACAAGGAATTTGTTTCGAGTTTCCTCATCGCGGTTTGTATTTAGTTTTAGTTTTGCCAAGGTTTGATTTAGTTCAAGCCTAGTTTGTTTCCTTCCAAATATAAATAAAGAAAAACATGTTTAAACCCATACATGACATTAAATACATATTTCTTTTAGTCACAGTTGGCCAAAACTTGTAGCCACTTACCATTATGGCAATTAAAACAGAAATAAGAGACAAGTTCAAATTCTCAAAGGCACAGTACAGAAACAAATGATCCTCCATTATACTTCGTTTCAAACAAAGAAAATACTGTTTGCTAGCATCGTTGCTAATGGGCGTCCCACTGGCGGGGTGTCTCCGTTTGTCCAGCCCCTTCTTCCCTCGTCTCTGTTAGACATCCTTCTCAGATCTCAGGAAATCAAGACTTTGTTGGCTTTTAAAAAAGGTTTTACTAAACTAAAACATTTTCGTTTCTGCGGCTGCTTTTGAGTATCTATCATGTGGATGAAGGAGACTTCAGCCAGATCCTGTTTTGGAATTTATATGCAGACATATTTTGCTCAGATTCGACATCTCGCCTACCTCTGCGCTCTATTTTAGAAAAGTTTTTGGCCGGCGATTTACAACATGGCCGTGCGTTACATACAAAGATGACATGTGAGGGTACACGGACGCCTGGCTGGCTTTGGGTGAATGCAGACAAAAACACAATGAGGCCAAAACTCATATCTTCAGTGGAAAACCAAACAAGAAAAACAGATTTCCCCCTGCTCTTCTCCAGCTGTGTTGTAGGACTATCTCGCTGTAGATATCGAATGTCCATCTAACCTCAGGGGGCTAAAAGGAACAACTAGGACTTTAAGTCAATTGGTTATTTTTCTTCAACACTGGCCACTGTGGGAAACTTGTTCAAAATGTCCTTACACCAAAAAGGATGATGCTAGCTGGAAGCTAGCTAGCGCTGAAAAGTAACCAACTAAAATTAAACTAAAGTATCCCTTTATAATGTGGCTTATTGTAAGAGGTGACATTTAGCAGAAACTAAGAAATCAAAAGAAGAAAATCGAGGGGGGGGGGATAAACACAAAAGGTGGAGATGGAGAGAACGAGAAAAGGAATAGAATTAAAAAGATCCGAGTGCTTGGGGATGGGGAGAGGGCTATATAAATGAGTATAAATAGTTCAATAACATGCATGTGAGTTCTAGGGTTAATGAGGGGGAGAAGGAGGATGGGACGCAGACAACAGTGTGTGGAAAGGAAGGAGGGTGAGTGAGAAGAGAGGGCTGAGGAAAGGGAGGAAGGAGGAACCTAGTTGCCCCACCAGTCCACTTGGGAGTGGGAGTAGTTTCCTCCGTAACCGTCGCTGGTGTAGAAGTTACCGAAACCACCTGAGAGGGAGGAAACCGGAGAAGACGCAAAGTCAACAGAGCGAAGGTTTCCAATGAACCAAAAGGACAGAAAATAAATTCAAATTGAGCTGCAGTTCATTATCCCAGATCCTCACCTCCCCCGAATCCGCGGGTTCCTCCATGCGCTGCCTGGTTGCGACCGCCACGTCCCCCGAACCCTCCCGCGGGGCCTCCGGCGGCCGTCTGACGATAATCACGGGCTCCAAAACCACCAGAGAACCTGGTGGAGAAATCAGACGCAAGCTGAAGGCCACTGCGTTCGGAGCAAACAGTTGAATAAGAGGAGATGGCGGGTGTGTACCTCTTAGAGCGCCCCCTGTTGCTGCTCTTGTGCTGGTGTTCATAGGCCAAGCTCTCCAGCCATGAGGGAACTTCCTGTTTGGCCTCGACCAGGATGTCCAGCAGGTCTTTAGTGATGTTCCCATTTTTATCGTTGAAGAACGAAGTGGCCAATCCTACAGAAAAAAAGTGGTGAGTGATGGTGGTGATAAAAACAACACACAATACTTAAGCCTAGTTTATGCTTCTGCGTTTTCAGAGAGACGCAAGGACACGCAGACGCAGGAGCCCCTTGCGTGTGCCTTGCGTGCCTTTTCACACCTCCTAGCGTGCGTCACCCCGGTCAAAGCGACGCAAGCCTCCTGCAGCCTACAAGGCTGCGATTGGTCCGCTAACTACGTCCTTTACAGAGTCTCACATTTCACGTTTCATAGCACAATACCAGCATTAATAAAACAAACGAAAAAAAGAACGGAACAGATTGAAGAGATTTTTTTCGGAAGAAATCCGTAAATATGACCGCTTATACAAGCAGTCATTGGCGGACTATAAGGACGCGTGGATGGCCTCTGATTCATGGAGGGAGATCTCCACAAACGTCGGTTTGCCCGTCGAGGGGAACAAAGGTGTGGAGGAAAATACGGGACAAATGTATCCACGATGAAAAGGAACAGTGGCGATGCACGGGGCAATAAAGTCTATGATAAATAAATAACCATCAACGACTTCCACACACAAACACGTTACTCCGCCTGTTGTTCTGGAGGTGAATTGCTCTGCAACACTCAAGACTTTTAGAACCATGAACTGAAACGAGTGCGTCGACACGACTGTGCTTAAAGACGCAGAAGCATGGGCCATCCTTAAGTGAGGTGTGGCTCAAAAAGCTCATTATCCATCCTTGATTAGGGGCCAAACGCCAGTGACTGACTTCAGCGTTCGTCTTACCCAGGTTTCCGACTCGGCCTGTACGTCCAATACGGTGGACGTACTCCTCTATGTCACTGGGAAGGTCAAAGTTGATCACATGCTTAACATTGGAGATGTCCAGGCCGCGAGCTGCTACCTGGATTTGCACGGGAAAAGGAGGAGTCCATCAAACACCTGTTCCGATAGACTCATCGACACTTAACATCCATGAAGAAACGTCCTCCTCTCACAAGATGTTACGGTTACTGACCGCTGTGGCCACCAGGATGGGGCATTTCCCTGATCTGAACTGGCTCAGGGCCTCCTCTCGGTCCCTCTGGGAGCGGTCGCCGTGGATACTGGTGCAGGCGTAGCCCTCCCGATACAGGAAGTCCTCTAAGGCGTCTGCGCCTTTCTTTGTCTCCACGAACACCAGAGTCAACGAGTCTTTACCTGATGAGCCGGGAGAAAAGACACGTGGGTTAACAAAAATCAGCGACGGTTGACTGTTAACAACCCTTACGTGTTTGTGGATAACCGCTGAATTTAGAACACAGCACGGATTTGTACTGTGAGAATTTAGTAGCTGTAGAGTGTTTTTAAACCAGTGATTACAAAAACTAAAAACAATGAATGAGAATTTTTAGTTAACTCAAGGCTAAGCGTCTCTACAAAATGTATAGCAAATTAAACTCCATACTTGTTAAAGTATCTTTTTTTCAACACAAGATGGAAACAGATCACGAAAAAAAAAAAAAAAACGTCATTATGGGACAAGTTTTGAACTTCCCGTACAGTTGAGGATCTGACTTTTATCTGGGGGATTGTGGTACAATGAAAGAACCGCGCCAGGAACAACAACTACACTCAAAACGTTGAGGTCCGCTTTGACGCCATCTTTTGCATCAAACATGTTTTGACACAAAAGCCACAACAATCTGGATTTCTGCAGCTGGCAAACATTTGGGATGAAATTCTCCATTTTCCTGTAGCTTATTATCATTTTGCAATAAAGGTCTCGCTGCGGGAACAGAATATTTTTGCATTATACTGAAAATGTATAAATAAATAGAGGCTACGACAGGCAAGTTATTGTTAACGGGTGAGGCTGCTTCAACCCCTAGAGACAAATCTTGATAACATGCACCCAATCTACCTTGAAATGATCACATGACAATAGTACGTTTTCTATGAGGGCAATAGTGAAACAGGCAGCAGGGAGTGCAAAAAAAAACAATAAGTACAAGAAACAATAGCTAACAGCATCAGCAGCACGGTGTCGTCGTCGTCGTCGTCAGCCACTGATGGAAAGAGTTTGATCACAGCTCTTCCTGATCATGAAGTGACGGGCATTGAGGCACGTTCGTATCCGCTCGTTAGCGGCAGAGACGACAGCGGAACCAGACTCTCTCCATCAAGGCTTTGTGTCTGACATGAAGACACTACAGCAACATATCGTACACGCAAAGATGCCACGATAAACTCGACAGAAAAAAAACAAAAACAAAAAGCACGACAAGCACGGAAGATTTATGGCTGCGCAAACTGGACCCATGAGATGGTACACAGAACCAAAAAATAACAGATTGAAACAAAAGGAGTCTCCATCCACAGAGAAGAACACCAAAGGGCAGGCAAAATGATGTAAAATTTGAAATGACAATTACAGGTTTTCCCATTGAGGATCTTACCAGGTTTCTCTATGGTGTCTCCAGTACCGTCCTGTACCTCGCTGGGGATGACTTAGGATAAAACCACACCAAACCACCAACATGTCAACTGCACTCAATCAGCAGGAGAAAACCAACTCTGTATGTTTGATGTCCCCGAAGTACTCAACGCTCGCCTCACTTCACCAAATGTGTTGTGCTAAACATGAGGACACAGGAATGCATCGGCTGAGATGGGAGGACGACAATATGATAATGGCAAAAGGACTGGAGGAAATAAAACCGCACCGTGTGTGTGTTTTAACAGTAGCTCTAAACCGATGAAAGTGTTTTGTCTGTTGTAGTTCTGCAGCGTTGGGACATATCCACACAACTGTCTCACCTGTAGCACTGAGCAGGTCCAAGAGGAAGGACCTCTTGTCACTCTCCTCGACCCACACAACTTTCTGAGTGATGTTCTCCGAGGTGGAACCCACTCTGCCCACCGCCAGGAAGATGTACTCCTCCAGGAAATCCCGGGCAAGGATCTGCATGCGGAGCAGAAAATGGGCTTATGAATACATTTTTAACACTTCAGGCGCCTCTAACCATTAACGCTTTTTACAGCGGTTACATTTTGCTTCCTGTTCCTGGAGTAACAGTAAATGTACCTGGATCTCTTTGGGGAAGGTTGCGCTGAACATCATGGTTTGTCGGATGCCTTTGTGCGGCATGGTGTCCTGTTCCACGATGCGTCTTATCTGTGGCTCGAACCCCATGTCCAACATGCGATCTGCCTCATCCAAGACCAGGTAGCTAAAGTGAGGCGGAGACAAGCGGGAGATGAGGAGGATGTAATCTTGAGTGATGGCGTTAAAGTGAACCACTCCCTCCGGTTCACGTCTTACTTGCAGTAGTCCAGTCCAATCTTGCCTCGCTCCATCATGTCCACCAGTCTCCCGGGTGTGGCCACCAGCAGGTGGCATCCTCTCTCCAGATCTCTCATCTGCTGGCCGATGTCGGCCCCTCCGTACACCACACAGGGACGCACTCTGGAGCGGTATGAGAACTACAGAAGGACAGGAAACGGTTGAAGAAGCGTACAGATGAACGCGAGTCCACATTCCGTGCCGTGATTGCGTCTCACCTTCCTGGATTCATCGTATATCTGCAGTGCCAGTTCTCTGGTTGGAGCCAATATCAGAGAGATGGGGTAGTGCTTGCGACGCCCATACTTTCCATTATCCTGAAATAGGACAACATTTATACTTAAACTAGCTCATAATAAGTTATACACGCATGCTTTTGCTTTAGCACTTAAAAGCCCCCTCCCCCCCCCGCCCATCCATGTGTTTCAGGGGATTTTAAACCTTGAGGAAACAAAGGACATGGTTGTCATTTATTTCTGACCTGTCCAGATGCTTTGGCTGCGCTGACGGCTTCTCCTGGTCCTTCACAGTAAATCTGGCTGAGAATCGGCAGCAGGAACGCTGCAGTCTTCCCAGAACCTGCGGACACAAAGAAAACCAAAAGAGTCAAAGGGAGCGTCTCAAAAATCAAACTTTAATGTATCCCTTACTTTCTAGAAAATTGGTGTACAGTGTGTGTGTGTGTGTGTGTGTGTGTGTGTGTGTGTGTGTCCTACCTGTCTGTGCGCAGGCCATGAGGTCTCGCTTAGACTTGACAATAGGAATGGCATATTTCTGGACAGGGGTCGGTCTGGTGTAGCGACTCAGAGCGATGTTACTCATGACGATCTCACCCATGTCCACATCTTGGAACTACAGAGCAGAAAATGAAAAAACACTAATCATGGAACTGGTAACTGAGGGTAATATTGTTGGACTCCTAGTCAACAAAAAGCAGCTTACACTCTCGATGTGGTGAGGGCAGTTCTGTCCTGTGGCCTCTACAGGAATGTCATCGTACTTCTCAAAGTTGATCCCAGTGTTACTGGCAGAGAACAATTCACTAGAGAGGAAGAACACAAGAGAAATGATGACGATAAGGGTTTACTTTGAACACATTTGACTTTTGTTTAAATAAAATCTGCCAAATCATTGAACGGCGGTGATTGATATTAATTGAGGATCACCAAAATCTGCAGAATTACTTTCTCAGTTAATCTTTTGGTCCATAAAATGTTAAATAGAAAGGGTAAAAGGTACGAAACCCTCACTTTATAATAATAAAAATGCAACATCCAAGATGTATTCAAGCAGGGAATCCTCACATAAACAAACCTGGAACTTCTGAATTGAGAACAGGACTTTGATTATTGGATATCGAAACATAGAGAGTGAAAATACAGGCTCACTTTTCAAGGCGCTCGTTACGTGGCGTTGGTTTGGACCAGTCTCCCTCCTCTCTGGGCTCCTCCACCCAGCGGCTGTTGTTTCCTCCTCCTCCTCCTCCTCCTCCTCCTCCACCACCACCGAATCCACCATGCTCAAACCTGAGCGCAAAACACAGACAACGATACACAATCTGTGATGCGGCTCCTATTTTTAGCTAATTATATAAATCGTGTTTCTCTGGACAACAATAGTTTAGAATTTCATTTACTTTTTTTTTTTTAAGTTAAATACTAAAAAAGGTATTTAGCCTTTTTTTGAAAGACTACTTTGGTATCAGACTGCAGTCCTCCTTGCATCTGGCTCTTTTTACTTGCCGTCTAACTTGTTGCTTATTTTTTTCGTCTCAATTCACCTAAAAACTCATTTTTCACACTGTTATACAGACACAACGGATAACTCAAGGTTAAAGTTCTGTTGTAAAGTTGTTTCAGTACAGTGACAGAAGTTATTCAGCAAGACGCTGTGCCTCATCTCCTTACCGCCCCCTGTTAGCGTTGCCTCGGTCATTGAAGAACGCAGACTTTCCTCGGTTGTTGCCAAAACTGCCATAAGTGTCTTTGGCAGTGTTCCAGCCGCCGGCATCTGACGGACAATGAACACGAAACAATTAGACGACACTTTCACAGAGAGTATTATTAGAGCAGTATTAAACGAGATGTAGGGACAACTTCAGCTGGAATACGAGATTCTTTATACAGTCAGAATGTCTGCAGAGATTATGTGCACGATCAGTGAGATATGCACAGCAGGGTGCAACAAATATCTTAGTGCTTTGCTTCATCGAAGATAATCGAAGATTAAAACGTTCCGTGGAGTAAAATAAACCCCCAACCTTTATTTTCGTAGCAACCAAAAGCCATTGGCTGTGGAGGGTTAATGGGGTTGAAGGCTCCGCCCCTGTTGCCGCGATAACCCCCTCCGACACCACCTCTGCCCCGCTCCATGCGAGGCGGGCCGCGGTTGAACACGTTACCGCCAGCCATGCGGTTGTCATGGTAGCCATTAACAAAGTTGTTGCGCCCTCCATCCCAACCATCTACAGAGGGAGGGAAAAAAAAAACAGACAATGAAAATTATATTCAAATGATGTTTGTATCAAACACCATCGGATTATTGCTCGTCACTGCGGTGAATGCTAATTACTTAATACCCCGCTCTTCACTTGACCGATGAGCGCTGCTCGAGTAAGGAATGCTATGAAATCCGGTACAGCAATGAAAACAATGAACGGGCAGCTCAGAGAGGGACTTACAGTTGGCTGGGGGCGCTATGGTGTAGCCACCCTGTCGACCAGCGGCAAAGGCATTTCCTGCAGGACAGGAGCACAGTGTTTCAGTTGAGGGTTTTATCTGGAAACAAAGGCAGTTTATGGAAAAAGGTATCTGGTGGTGGTTTTGACCCCTGGCAGCACAATGCACGTTTTGTTTCCGAGGAGGGCCCTCGAAGTCTCACGAGAACCTATTTCAACACCTGCGTGCGGTCGACGCAAATCCCACTCGTGGTTTCAGTTGCTACAGCCAAGGCACGTAGCATGGCGATCGCTAGCTAGCTGGCTAACATGAACGTGAATAACGCATAATAAGTATTCAGATAAAATCGGCTGCAATTGTTTTAGGAGGACGTTAATGGACTCAGAGATTCACACAATGTCTTTTGGCGATCAAACCAAATACTAACATAACTTAGCATTTGTTAGTTTACCTGAAAAGTCCACAGGACAGCTTAAACTTGATGCTACACCATTTTTGGAAGCGTCCTTGTTACGTAAATGTATCTCACTGCAGAAAGGACTTGGTTTTAAAATGATGACGTACCTCTAATCCGCAGATCTAAAAACTAGGAAATCTAGTATTTATACATTTCCAGGATATTCTAGTTTGGCTCAATAACACGTTTAGACTGCACTTAATAGCTGTGAGTGAACAGGATTTGTTTTCATTTTAAAGGAGACCTAAGGTACATCACGTGTGGAGGTAAAATGTTGAGGATTGGGAGTGTCTAGAAACATTTTTAAAGTGTCGGCGGCTGCTTACGGTTGGGGCCTCCACCTTGTCCGTCTGCCGCACTCAAGTCTAGGACAGCGAGCTGGAGGAACAGACACAAATAGTCATAAAAACAACATTCAAACAAGCAAAATATATTTTCTAGCTTTTGTTGTAAATGTTAAGCCACGACAAGGATTCTTCCTACAGCAGAGGAGATCAAAACAATGGATGCTTGTGACTTGAGGGTAAGCAATGTGAAGGCCTACTCGATGCTGTTGGGGCAGAGGACACGGAAGTGGATTTTTTTTTCAGCACCACACAACCCTGCACACTAGTGTGACAAGGATTTGAACGCCATACTGGTGATGCAAACGGCTGGTTTGATGCGGGTTGTTGGTTTTTATTCCCAGTCTCGGGGTAGGATGCTCTCCTGCAGTAACATTCCGTGAACTCAGCTAATAGGAGAGAATGATTTCTCCATCAAACCTTCCCGTTGCAGCATTTTTTGCATCCGAGCCAAAGAACGCCATATGTTGTTGTTGTTTAGATGTTGTGCAACGCGCTCATGTTGACATTTTGAGGATTAACCTTGCCAAAATATCCATCGAGAACATAGAGTACCTTTCTGTTGCCATCCGACTGTCTGACCAGTCAGACACAGCTAACAGTGAACTAACGTTGCTAGTGACGCAGACGATAGGGGCATTTTAAGGGGAAGCAGTCGACACAAACTATGCCATACTGCGTATGATGTGAATCAAAGCAGGCTGGACCGTCAAACACCGCATTGGTTGCGTGTCCAACCCGCTAGCACCGACCTCCATTTTATTATTGTAGCGACCTAACGCAGTGAAGATAGCGGTTGATGAGTGCGTTGCATATCCTCACACGGAGAAGCCGACGGCGCCGCTCGGGCGTAATTGGTTGTTTTGTCTAGACCATATTCCGGGCTAACCATCACTTATAACCGTGGTGCGGCCGTTACAGCTTCCATACATTATTTTTTGTACAACTTGTGATGTAGCAAACACAGCTATGATCCAACGTAACAAAAGGACCAGTATGTTTTTCACATCGCGTGGTTCGTTTCAATCTCCGCAGCCGCCCGTGGTCATGCTAGTGCGGAATTGAAGCGCACCCAACGCTAGCTAGCACGATAGCATCTCGTTAGCGGTGCTTTCGGGCTAGCCGGTGAGCTAAAATTCATCCCGGCGGTTCTAACACATTTTCCCAACGGACGCTGCACGACACGTGAAAGGAACGCGGCTTACCTGCTGCTCTAGACCGTGGACATTTTCGACGGCCACATGACTCATAACTATAGAATACGGAGGAAAAATGTTGTCGTTGAAAAAAGAACCTCTTTGTTAGCCGGGTTTGATGTGTTATTTCTCCTTTCCCTCTGTCTTGCTTCTGTAGTTACGACAGCTGACAGTTATTTCATTGGTCTAACAGCTATAAATAACTTTGCAAAATGCTGATCTTGAATTGTACGTTATGATAAACTCCGGTATTTTAGCAACAAGGACGGTACTTAATGCAAACTCAGCTGATGTCGGTTTGCTCTTTAGCTGAAGCTGAGACGAAGCCGTCATGCATTAGTTAAGCTAGCCCGAGCACATGACCGACACATCCGGTAGCGCCAGAATAAAAGTCAACAAACACGCGGAAAGGGGAAATGTTGTATATGTGGCAAATGTGTTTGCCACATATACTTTAATGTGTAAATTATAATTATGACTAGGTCATATTAAATTCAAATACATTTTTTAATATACTTTTTACGAAAAGTGCAAAACCATGGCAACGCATTCCTTCGCCAACTTCCTTACTTCCGGATTAGCGCTTGGTAACGGTCACTAGTTTGACAGATTCATCCTAAATGTTATCAATACAGATACCGCGAGACTTTAGTCAAGGTTTGTCGCGATATTACCCACCACAGTGAGGTATCGGCTTCCCATCGTCACTCTAGATTTGTTTTTATAAACGTTTTCGGTCATAATCGTGATGAAAACCAAATTGCTAATTTAATTATAGACGTTTATGTGAACCATTTAGTTTTTTAATATGACATTGAACGGCCTTTGCTGTTGTGGTATTCTCATTTGAAGAATGACAATGCTTTGCCGTTGGTTTGGCTTTGCCAGCATCTTTGTTTTACATGGTAATGTAAAGTAATTTAATTTGTGTCGGTGGTTTCGCTGCTTCGGTCATTTATAATTGCTGCCTGGTTGAATGTGGATTCCTCTCACCAACTGGGGGTATTTTTTCAACTTGCTCAATAACTTCCCCTTTGTAGAATGAACAGACGTAGCCACATCATCTGTGAGGCCTTTATGAATGGAAACTCCTTGCTGATGTCATTTTAGTTGACTGGTTAAATTCGGGAAAAGGCTTCCTACTTGTGGTGGAAACAAATGATAACCATTTCCACTCTGTTACTTTGCCATTTGTATTTAAATGTATTCACATGAGGAATTTTGCTGACATGTTTGGCATGAGGCCATTGGAACAAAGATGACCAGTTTCTTCTTTTGAATATTGAGTTCAGAGTGTTTTAAATCAGGGAGTCTCTCTTACGCTCAATTTTAGTGTCCCACTCTCATTTGACTCCCAATGTTCAGTTTACAAGACACGAGTCTTCTGAATAAAGCGTTGTATTCCTCATTTATGGCTGGCCTCATGCTACCAATGTAAACTAGAAAACCAATGTTTGAAACTCTGCAACTTATACTTTGACTTTGAAAAACGGTCCTACATGTTTTTTATGTCAACGATTGGCTCCCCACATTGGTTTGGGGTGGCGGTTTACCAACATTAAACACATACCAATCCTGAGCACGTTGTTGGCTTTGAACTGGAATTCCGCAACCACGTATGTTTCTAGCTGGCCGTTAATTTTGTCTGGCTGTTGTAGAGCAGGTTTTTTTCTCAATGGGTTAAACTTCACACTGCCAACCGTCCTTTACTTATGTGATCGTATGAACAGCAAAGCTGCAACAAGCCTTCGGTGAACCATAGGTTCTTCCGATCTGTAAGGATTTGAGAGACTAGCCGAGATAACAAGCATAATATTGATTACTGTGTATTCTAACTTCTTTCATTTTTCAAAACGGGTGAAAACAGAAAAGGTCTGCAGACATTGATTCCCGATCAGCTGCTTCCATTACTTTTGTACTTTTGTTTATTTAGCATTTTTTGCTGATCATAAATGCATAACGAAAGGGGCATTTCCCAGAGAGCAGCACACCTCTGCAGCTCTGCCTCACCTGCGTGATTATAAACCTGGAGAAGACAAAGAAAAAAAGAAAAAAAAACACATTCGCGGTATTTGTCTTCTCCGTAACTTTGCACTTCAGGTTTGTAACTTTCCACTGTGGGAGAGGCTGTTGATGCCACCTTGACTGACAGGGTTTTGTGGGGGCATGTTGTGGTGCCTTTTTACTTGAGCATTTGAAGTACGCTTCACATAACATGACCAATGTGTTCTTTCCAATCCTATTTAGTTATTTTCTCTTGTTCAGCATCTTATCATAAAAATGCATCTTATTGCAATTTCCAAAATATTCCCAATGAATCGTAAGTAATGGCAAAGAGATGTGGTGTTACTGACAGTAATCTCACAAGTGTTTATAACGTGTCATACTATCGTAACGATACACTCTGTGTATACCAAAATCAAAAGGATAGTCCATTGATCTGATTGATTGTTCATCTGATCACAGACAATGTCATTATTCCCCCGATGCCGCCTCGCCCAAAGCCCCACATTCCCTGAGAGAGAAAAAACAGATAAAACGGCGATGACAGCAAGCCAACGTTTGTATTTAGGAAAAGTTTGATAAAAGAAAACCCGCGTTACAAAATAGGGGCATGATGATCACAACAATAATGCTCATATAATGTTAGTTTAGCGTGTTAGCCTGCTAACATTAGCGCTTCAGCGGGGATGTCGTCGGGGTTGTGAGGGTAAGTGATGGAAAATCACACAAGTATCGGTAAGAGAGGGCGTGTTTCTACAAGCACTCTGCAGCCAATGGAACTTAATTGGTCGTCACCATAAAAACGTTCTCTTGTATCGAATAAAGTTTCTGAACTAATGCGTTAGTCTTAAAGGCAATTACAGGAATTAAATCCATTCCAAGCCGTGAAATTAGCCTTTGCATCTGTTAATTCTTGATAAACACATTTACATTTTTTATTTATTGCCACCATATTTGCGAAGGACACCTTTTCAATTCTATAGCAGATGCAGGAAATGAATCGAAGACACATATTTTCCCATCCCATTCTTGAGTGCATCTCGCAGGAAGGTTACCTTCCAGCGCAATGTTTGAGCAGCCATTGTTTGTAATAACTGCGTTACACTCTCACTCTATAATATTAAAAAACATGAGCTCGGAGCTGTACAGCGTTCAAACAATCATGTGCAACATACCCCCCCAATCCGTTTGATTTCTATGCCAAGAAAAATGACATACCTATTTGTGATGTGCTACAGCACATTTTCCCCATTGTTTTCCCAATTTGTGGGTGAATGTTAATAACTACCACCACCAAACGTTCACACTTGTCTCCAGAAGGCACGGGCAGGTCCTCTGTGCTGTTGACTTGGCTCCCGATAGTCCCCTGTAAAAAGAGGAAAACTTTTTTAATACGGTGGAACGGTGGATTTTGTCATCAAACTTGAGGAGAAAACTTACCTGGATCATACGTTTAGAGTTACGGTAACAGCGTGGGCCACTTCTCGGACAAAAAGGAGCCTACACAGAGAAATAGATGAAGAGAAAGACGCCAACAGAGCAGATCACCACCAGAGCGATGTTCAGGAGGATTCTGGTTCGAGGAGGTTCACGGAGAAGCTCATCCACAATTTGCTCCTGTTCCTGGACTGTGAGGACCTGAGCAGCGGTCGGCTTTTCCTTTAAGCCACAGAGGCACATCAGAGTCTCCACACACCTCCCATGCGCCCCTCCTCCACCTCCTCCTCCACCTCCTCCTCCTCCTCCAAGCCACCCTTCCACTTCCTCCTTCCCAACCGTCACTCCTCTTTCTTCTCCCTTGTCTAGACGTTTAAGGTCAGAAATCGGTGAGGGACTAGAAAAGTGTGTTTCCGTGTCAGCGGCTTCGATAGCGTAACTGTTGCTTGGTGGAGCAGCTTCATGAGTGCCGTGTTTTAATCCCTTCCTCTTTGTTTAACCCTCACAGGGTGGTGTTTCTGATTTTGTTCCTTTGTGGGCGGAGGGGTGCAGAGACTCACAACTACGGTCACCAAAGCCGAAGCCCAAAACAAGATGGCTGCCACATACATGAAGTGAACGTCCTTGATGAAAGACGGCCGCTCGTCGGGCTGGTCGCAGTGAGGCTCCCGGTAGACCAACGCCAAAATCAGACGCGCCGCCCCGAGTGCAAGCCCCACCAACCCGCCCCAAAATGCCCCCGTCTCGTTGCAGCGATGCCACAGCACGGCAAGCAAGAAGGTCGCGGCCACGGGGGGAGTCAGGTAGTCTGTCACCTCTTGGATGTAGTAGAACATCTGGCCTCCCTGCATCTCGATGATGACGGGCACCCAGGCGATGCTGGCGATCACCATGAAAACCACAAACAACCTGCCGACCATCACCAGCTCCCTGGAGGACGCCTGCTTTCGCAGCATCGTGTAAATGTCCAACGTGAATATGGTGCTGGCGGAGTTGAAGATGGAGTCCAAGTCGCTCATCAGCGCTGCGATTATGACGGCCATCATCAGGCCGCGGAGGCCGACGGGCATCAGCGACATGACGAGCCGCGGGTAGGCCAAGTTGCTGCAGCCGCTGGCGGAGCCGCACACCTGGAGGCAGTGCTCTGGGCTGATGCACGCCAACTCGTCAGCAAAGAGGATCCTGGAAATCATCCCTGCAAAGGGCCACCAGGCATGAATCAGTTATCCCAGTCAGCCCGCTGCAAATAATGTGAGTCCCTCCCAAAGCGATGGGCGGCTCTACCTGGGATGACGATGATGAACATGGGGAGGATTTTCAGGAAGCCAGCCATGATGGTGGAACCTTTGGCATGGGCGATGTTCTTTGCTGCCAAAACACGCTGAACGATCACTTGATCCGTGCACCAGTACCTGCAACACAAGGGCAGGACACTGACACAGTTCTAGGGATTCAGGCATTCTGCGAAACAACTAAACAACTCCATTCGTTGTCTGTCAGCTCACATTGGTCTCTCAACGACTATTGGATGGATTTCCATGAACCCCTCATGGTAGAAAACATATGGGCTCCGAAAATGGCAGTTTCAATATATTTTGAGTTCAAGAAACTGAAGCAGTTGGGAAGACCAGTACCAAATTGAGGCAGGAGTCTGGCCCAGTAGGAAACCGGGCCAAGGCAGGTCTGGATCCGTCGGGCCGCGGAGCACCTTCAGAGCATCTGGCTTCGGGTGGAAGTGGCAGGATTCAGAATACGTCAGGTTGGGTGAAGACAGCAAGATGGCGGTGATGTTTGGAGAAGCTTGCATGTATTTGGTCCTCACCCCTTAAAAATGACACAGTTTTAAGTGATGCATCGTGGGTTTAACTTTATCGCACAAAAAGGGATCAATAAAGACCTTCGAGTCCTCCCACTTTGAAGAGGCCGATGCCTGTGAGGCAGAGTGCTCCGGCGATCATGATGAACGCCTGCACCGTGTCCGTGTAGATGACAGCGACCAGGCCCCCGGTGACCGTCAGCAAAGCCGTCATGCTGATGAGGAGGATGATGGACAGGTAGAGGTTCCAACCGAGGGATTCCTGAATGAACAAGGCCCCGGCGTAGAGGTCTACGGACAACTTGGTGAAGACGTACAGGATGAGGGACAACGCCGCGAAATACACCTTTAGCCGGTTCCCGCCGAACCGTTTGGACAGGTACTCCGGCATGGTGCTGACTCGGCACTGAATGTACACGGGGATAAATACCCAGCCTAGCACCTGGAGCAGAAGCAGCGCGTTCAACTCCCAGGCAGCCACGCTGAAGCCGCAGGCTGCACCGGATCCAGCGAGTCCAATGAAATGCTCGCTTCCTATGTTGCTGACGAACAGAGACGCTCCCACAGCCGCCCAGTTCATGGAGCGGCCGGCCAGGAAGTAGCCGCTCACCGTGCCCTCGTTGGCCCTGCGCATGGCGAACAAACCGATGGCCAGCACCAGGATGAAGTAGATCACTACGACGGTGATGTCCACCACTTCCATGGTGCCAGTGGAAGCCATGTTTGAGCCCTTTCGCAGCTCTTTGACAGCTCAGAAATAACAAGCGTCAGCGTTACTTTGAAGGCTCGCCGTGTTTTGTCCAGGTGCAAGGTCTTGATATGTAGCACGACTAATTCAAGTTCGCAGATACTATTTTGAATCTGCTTTTTGCTGTCAAACAGGGGTATTCAGCTCAGCTACCAAATCCTGATGTACAGTGATCTGCACTTTTGTCATGTCTACATTAAAAAGTGGTCAGCAGGAAGAAGTCGTAGTGTCATGCAAAATGTCGGTGCATTATCACTGGGTTGACCGAGGTAGCCTTAAAAAAAGCTCTCCTAGATCCTGCAACAAACAGAAATGTACAAATTCAATTCTTCTTCCTCAAACCAAGTTTAAGGCAATACTCTATCTAATGCGTCAGGAAAAAGTAGAGCACTTTAAGAACTTCAGAACCAAAGCCGGCTCATTTCTCGGACCTGCCGTTTAATCATTAATGTCACTTGTAATTTGTTATTTTGCCTGACGTTATATCATCCTTCAAATATCCATAGGCTCGTAAAACGTGGTCCAAAAAAGAGAGGTCATGATAAATGCGACCCCTGGTGACATCAAGACCCTTGCAGGCTGTGTAAACACACAAACGCAGTTTTCTCTGACCCGTCTGTCCGATGCACCTGCAGAGCGGATCCTTTCACAAAGCCTGCTGCCGCCGCTGTGTTCTTATTCGGAGGTACAGGCACAGCTGTGTGCTGAAGTGGAGCACTAAAGCCTTCCTGCCCGGCCGTCCTTTAACAGTAACAGCGACCGTACTAAGGGAAATAGATTATATAAGTATTAGAGCTCCCACTCGCCCAGTTGGCAGACTGAGCCAGTTAGACCACTAATTTTCAAATCAAGTCATACGTTTTAACAAGTAAGCGAAGCTGCTTAACCGTTTCACCTCCCAGCTGCTGTCTAGTAACAACTAGTTGTGTTTCCGGTTAGCTGTCACTGGCCTGCATTGACTCGTGGTAGTGCAAGCGTCCTGCATCGGCGCCGGTGTTTGTTGCTGAGCACAGCCGGCCGGTCTTAGGAGGTCAGCTGGCATCGGTTGCATCAACGTTTCTGGAAAATCTCTCACACCTACATTGGCTTTATTTTAGCTCAGTGGAGGTAACAGAAATACATTGGACCAACACTCTAGGGTTGAATCATGAATGTTATTCAAGGGAATGCTGGGTAAACAGAGGTTTCGATATTTCCAGTTTTACCAAAGCATGTATAGTTTATACATATATGTAAATACGGGCCATACCTGTCAAACAGGTTTTGAACCTGTAGGAATACTTTGAGTGCAACAACTTTTTACAAGAGGCATTACTGCTATGCTCTCTCAACCATATGATTTCAATGGAAAACGTGTTTTTTAATGAATTTTAATAACATGTTTGTGCAAATGTTGCCTTAATGTACTAAATGTCCCAAAGTCTATTCTCACAACTATCTTGTAGTTCAAAAGTGTGCTTTTGGTTTAAATTGTGATTCATGTAGTTTTTCCTCTATTCATACTTCCACTTATTTCCTAGTCCTAAAGGTATAATGTAAAGTTTTAATTTTCTATGGCATTCATGTGGTTTTACGGACCCATATGGTTCAAAATATGGCAAAATATACGTTTGCAAGTTATTTCCAAGTTAGTTTTCTGCAAATGAGAACAGCATCAACTGTTTGCCATAATATTTCTATTCTCATACGAATCCCCTGTAAATCATACAGTCGGCTTTAAGTGACGTATTATTTCATCTTGTTATGATATGCTTAGAATATTGATTAGTTAGATATAGTAGTTATAGTACTATCACTGACATTAATGATATTTTCTATATTCCCCAAATATTTAATAGCAGTGACAAGGGTTACACAAACACAGAAGACACAACTGCTGTTAATAAAATACTGTGACTTTAAGTTGTATTTTAAGGTGAGACTCACCTGCCGTCTGCTGCGGTGTCTCTGCGGAGGACAGTTCGTGCTGAACTCTGTCCCACACTGGTTGGACACCTGCAGAGTCCTCAGTCGATGAGCGGGATCCTCCGCCCACAGCTCCGTGAACACCGCCCGGGTGGAGGCGGGGACACTCACAAAGGAGGAGGATGTTATTGTAATTTTTGATATTTCTGGAGTGCATAAATACTGGGAAGGGGAGTAAATGCATCAGTCCCAGTCCCAACAGATCTTTTATTTGAATACCTTGTCATTCTATTCATTAGTAAATGTCAGTTGTTTTAGTAAGTGCAAAAGTTAAATGTATCAACAAGTTAAGTTGTACAACACACACGAGACACACATTTATATCCAACGAATCCAAAAGGAGTCTCCATCCCGTCTTCTGTTATTCTTCAGCGGGTTAATTTGAACCCATGGATGGCTGATTAAATCAGTTACAGACATGTACATGCAGCTTGTTGGACCTTGGGTCCAACCAGTATGCACACACACAGACACACACAAACGCACACACTAAACACACAGACAACGTGACTTAGTGAGCCATAAACAAACCACAACATCACAATCGCACGCACCATGATGTTGCACTTCTCATCACCTGTAGGCCGTAAACCGTGTGCACCTGAGCTAATTCGCTAATTCTTCCTCTGTCACGTATTTTTCACTTCCGGGCTTTTTCTCTTCTGTCTCTACCTTATTTAATGTTCATTCTGTGGGTTTTTCAGCGTGCGCGTGAAGGTGCGGCCCCTGAGATTTGAAGCATTTCGATTGCCTCTCGACGGCTCTCAAGATGTCGGCGGCGTGCTGGAGACTCACAGCTAACGGCGCTAGCAGAGCAAACTACTAAACCTTTACACGGGCGATAGGTGTACGCTGCTCTAATTGTGAAAATACATCACAGAAAAATACTCTCTATTCTGAAAAACATTGCAGCCGTTGCTCTGATCGGCCGCTAGATGGTGCAGCGAACCAAAAGCATATAAAGCACATCGGAAGTATTGGAGGTCCACTAAAATTTGCCCACAGCTGTCCTGATGTTTGTCAGTGGCACAGAGACAGGTGTGCAGTAGAAGTCAGACATCGGCTGGAACAAAGTGCCGTTGAAAGGCTGCGGATGGCGCCACTCTTCCACTGGACAGACACACATCCGTCTCTCCTCTGGATCCTCCTGTATTCACTCGGAGGTCTGAAAGGTCTCTTCCATCCATCAGCGTCCATGTGCTCAAGTGACAGCAGCACATTGCGCGTGTTGTAACACGCGCCACTCGTTGCTCTTCAATGTTTTTCCGCTCTCCCACTTCACAGGTTGAGATCGCTCTGCACAAAGGGAAGAGAAGCGGGGCTCTTTTCCTCATCCATCAATTATTAACAGACTGTTTGTGTGGTGAAATACTGACTTGAAATTTCAAGAACCAACGCTGTCAATCAAACACACACAAACGTAGGGAACCCAAGACATCGGATAAAAGGCTGTTTTTACTGACTATATTTAATGACAGCCCGCAGCGTGTCTCCCACACTTCTGCACTCAGCTGATTGACAGACGGAGACAAACTGAACACGACTTCTGGGCTTTAAAACTGTTTTTAGAGGCTGAAAAGTCTCTGTTGCAGAGGGAAGTGTTCCTCTTGATTACTGAGCACCAGTGTGAACCAGAATTGTTCATCCCTTGCTGTGTTTTTTCAGTTTATTCTGACTTATTTAATCAAACATGGTGTTTCAACAGAGTGTATGAGGGGAAAGCCCTGGTGCCCTTTTACCTGATCTGGATGAAGGGATTTCTCTGCAGCACGGAGATGAAGGAGGAGGAGGAAGAGGAGGAGGCCGGAGGAGGACGCAGGAGGAGAAGCATGCTTCGGTTTCTCCTAACGTAAACAGAGCCGAAGCTCCCAGAGTTGATGGCGACGGCAGATGGTGGAGGGAAGGAAAGGCAGATGGAAAAATCACTTCCAACATGTTTATCATCGTCAAGAAGTGTGCCTCGTGTGTGTGTGTGTGTGTGTGAAGAGAAATGATTTCCCCGGGGTTAATGAAAAATGTGATTTGTGTGGAACTCTAGAAGACACAGTGGTGTGAGAGCGATACATTGAAACTAAACTTAATGCGAGCATAGCTATAGATTAAATCAACTGCAGATCACTTTCACACAGGAAAAATGTCATCTTATGTTTCACAATTCAATGTGCAAAACCTCCTGTTCAATTCTTGTATTATTAATTCATGTAAATGCTAGGATAGATATTTGTTTTCATATATTGCATGCACCTGTTTAAGATGTACATATCCACCCAATATTTTATGAGCAAGTTACATTTTAGGGGAGATAAATGAAAATAAATCATAACATCAGCAACATATTTCTCACTCAATACGTCTGACACTAAACGTCGAGTATATTACCCAATAAAACAAAGCCGTGGCAACTTAAACATGAAAAAGAGACTAATGTTTATAGCAACTTTAAGAACTTCTCGTGCTTAACTGCTGAAATTGTAATCCATATGCACAGGCTGATGTTGCCACGGGGCAATACATGACAGCTGTTGCCATGGTGATATGTATGTGTGACTGCAGGCGAGGCGGCTGGGAAACTTGAGAACCAGACGAGACTTTGTGACCTCGGCAAACACACCGCTGACAGGACGAAGCACATGGTCTGATCACCGAACGTGTGTGTCTGTGTGTGTGAGCAGCAGGGAGAGCGAGAGGCTTCCAATGTTATATATATATATATATATTTTTTGTCAACATTCAGACTTCCCCTCAAAGTCAGTCCTGTCAGATCTGCACAGATTTACATGGAACAGAGTTTTTTTTGGAGTCACTTCCTGAGGATATTGTAGTCGTAAAATAAACCTGCACAAATCCACCAAGGACTTGCGGAACAAGCTCCCATACTCAGAATGGTAACTCATAAAAGCAACCCAGCCGTCTGTACATTAATCCGCACGAAACTGCTTATCGATGATTCAGCATTCTTTTAATGGTGCCGTTTTGACCAAATACAGCTTGATAGGGCTCAAGGTTGCAGCCTGCAGTTGAATAATGGACTCCAGGGCTAAATAGTATCTCCTGTTTCAGCTCAGTCCAGAATTCGGAGCATCAATATTCACCGCTCTATAGGAAGCTCCAAATAAGGCCGGCTCTGGAAGCCGTTGTTAGCGTTTGGGCCTCATCAACAGAGCGGAAAGAAGAGTCCTCAGATTGAGACAGAACCGCTCGGAGGTCACCATGTTTATGGACACGACGACCTGCATTCAGAGTAAATATTTAGCTGAGCGCAGCGGAAGCTGATCTCAGAGCTGTGAATAACGTTGATAGGGAGGTTCTTCAAAGGTCGTCTGCAAGGACAAACCCAGTTGGAGTTTATTTGCATCACTTATAACGTCGTGCAGAGATCTGTGAGCGCAAAAAGCCTCAAGTAACACAAGATTATCCAAAGCACTTTGTTTGGATATGCTGGAAGAGCTTAGCTTTCCCTCTTCAATTAAACTATTAGTGGGATAAAATGTGAGAATAGACATGTGGCTGATGGGAGGTTAATCCCGACGGGTTTATGTCCACCAGGACGTTTAGCAAGGACATAAACCCATTTCATAGTGAGGAATCCGCACCATACCATGCCGCCATATTTATAGCTTGTATTTACTGCTTATACACTTCCTTTCTTCCATATGTCCTGATTGGGGAGAATCATAATGTGTATGCTGTTAAATGTGTAACTACATGTACAAAGACTGGTATTAGAATTACTGCTGAATAGCTGGAAAACACCTTGATTCAATGTTAAACTAATACGTTCCTCAAAAAATATATTTAATTTCTGTGCAATCAAGGTTTCAGTCAATGTAAAGAGAACATACTGAAAGAGAAATAATTCAATGTGACCACTTTGTTTTTATTCCTCTCAACTTCATCCCTTCTTATTGTGTAGGGAAACATCTCATCCACACGCACACAAAACACAAGCTCATCTTTTTTCCCCTCAGTCAGAGAGAAAGAAGTCGACGGATGAATGAGGGGGAATAAACCCCATCACGCTCTCCTTTTCTTTGCCTTCTCTCCTTCAAGCTTTAAATCAATGCAGTCCGAGTGCTTACATGTATAAAACTTTACTGTAAATTTAACCAAAGTCCAAATGTTCCCAACGTGGGAGAGAGTCATCACTCAAACCACAGGCGCTAACATAACGTTTCATTCCTTCAGCCGATGGTTTGTGAGCGTTGATCTCCACCAGAAACAGCAACTGGAGAGAAGTCTCTCCAGAAGAAACAGCTAGAAGCGCGTTGAGAGGAAGAGTGTTCCTGCAGAAATGTGAGTCGTTTTTTCCTGAACATCCGTTTCTGATGAACACTCCAACACTCTCTGTGGCTATTTAACCATCATTTAAAACATTGGTGAGCAAAAAACCCAAATTCCCTCACTAAATCAGTAACATTTCTTCACTGCAGGTGTCCATTCTCTACAGGAAACTAATTCTGTTGTAGTTTTTAATGAGCCAATAGCTCAAATATATGGGCGATAATTTCACCCACCGACGGAAATAAATAGAGAAAATGGAACATTAACATAAACCCATTAATGAGTTATTTTTGCTCCTCTACCCGAGATATTAAGTGCATAATGGAATGTTTCATAGAAATCAGAACTTTTGATTTCAAATTAAACATTAATAGAAAAAGATGGCAATTTAGTTGAACTGAAAGAGATTGAAAACATGACAAGGAAATACAAAAGATATGAATGCACACAAATAAATTATTTTCTATTAAAAGTTATAATCTGTATTTTCTTTCTCTATGGCGAAATGATTAGTAACCCGACAAAGAATGAAATGACTACGTGTAGTGTTCAAAGTTGCATAGCACTTGCGAGCTGCTATAAAAACATTTTTTTTTTAAAAGGGTGCAAAACCCCCTCGCAGGTTCCAGGAAGAGTCTGACTGCTCGGGGGAGCCAGATAGGAAGAGAGGGGGGGGGGGGGGGGGTAATCCAGTAAGTCCTGGGTCAGGGAGTCATTTCAAACATCTGAGTGATGAAGGCCAGTCAGCTGCTGAATGCAGAAAGCCTGAACTCAACCCCCCCCCCCCCCCCCAATGCGCGTGGACTCGTACAACCTGCAGCGCCTCGGCTCAACTTGTTTTCCCCCCTATACGTCCCCTCGATATTTTGAGCGAAGGCGAGAAGGACCCCTGACATGTGATCTATTCTATTTGAAGATCTGATTCATCCGCCCGCTGACCGGAGCCGAATAGAAGTAGTGCTGCCGGGTCCAACTCTCCGCAGAGGAGAGGTTAATGTAAGCCGGCCTCAGGCTGCAGCATCCATGCAGCATTATTAGGGCCCGAATAATGAAGGGTCAGCATGATAACGATGGGACCGGACACGCTGCCTGCATAGTATACGTGAGCGCTGCTCTGTGAGGATGCAAACTGGAGCGGATGAAGGCAGCAGGCCGGGCAACATTTGGCCGAGGATACAATTGTTGTCAAGTATTAAAGTGACGCTTTTGTTCTCTCCTTCGGTCCTTTGTAGACGGAGCCTTCCAGCACGCAGACACCCCTCCCCTGACTTAACGCGGCCGCAGCCATGGCAACACGCGGTCGCACCCACACACATTTTGCACAAATAAATTAGCGAGCCATGCGGCGCCCTGGCGTGCTCGCGCTGTTTGCCATGTGCAGCCAAAGTGACTGTGGGCCAGAGAGAGTGTTGCTTTCATCACTCCGATCAGTGTCCACTTTGCAGGTTGTGCTCTTCATTTGTAAAACGTGTCGAGAAACAGTGAGGAAAGTCTACGCTTTTAGTCGTGTTGCACATTTAGTTTGGAGTTTTGTCTTCTCTTATGGGGAGGATTTCTAAGTGGAGTGTGATTCGTGAGCCTCTTAAAGTGATCGAGGGTTACACGGTTGGGTCGGGTTGTTTTACATGTCAGCAAACTTCATCTGGAGAATCTGCAGACACGTGAGAGAGCACGCATTGTAAAATAACCCACGCGATGACCAAAAATCCTGACTGGCGCGAAGAGGACGTCACCGTCTGCGGCGTCTTCACAGCTCCAAACGCAGACATGTTCCTTTTCACCTTCTTTGTTTTAACGCTTCCTCGTGGCGGAGTAGCTCGGATCCCTGCTGCTGCATCCGAATTACAGCTCTGACGTCAACACACATTGTTAGAGTAGCGCGTGCACGTGTCGTTCTAGTCACCCCCCTCTACCCCTTTTGTGCATATTTTAAGGGCTGTGAAAACACCATTTTTGGCAACTGAGTCCCCGGGGCCGAAATCAAACATGGCGCCATGCGGTCTCAGTGCAGGTCTCCTAATGGGAGTCATACGTTAGGGATAAACGCGTTCACTTCAGCACAGCAATGATAATAATACACTAATGTAACTCACGCAGCGCACGGCTCCAAAAGACAACGCAACGCGCTAACCAGCCGCCCGCGTGCACTCGGGAGGTGTTTGTACTACGTGGACGTGCGCCTGCTGGAGGGCTGCCAGGCTGAAGACACGGCACCATACAAGGAGAAGTCACAGGGGCCCCCGCCGGCCCCCACCACCACCTCCACCCGCAGACCGTCTGCAGGGTGGCACCGCTTCAACGTGCAGGTGGAGTGACGGAGGCCGGTTGAGGGCTCATGTGCACCGTTTACTGACGCCATTGTGTGTGTGTGTGTGTGTGTGCGCGCGCGTGTCTGTCTTAATGTTTGAGGAATCAACTGAGCGAAAGTCTGCAGAACATGAAAAGGACTCGCGTGTGCATGAGAGAGAAATCGAAAGCACAGGAGGGAGATTTATGGACAAGTGAGGTCAAATTTCTTCAGCCTAATAATAAAATCGCAACCAGAGCGCCCCCCCCCCACCATGTACACACTCTCTCCATCCCACTTCCATGTGTTGACATAGTTCCCATGGTGCTAAGGGAAGGTGTCGGCGGGTCGTGGCTGCATTCCTGCACACACACACACTAACATTTACTCTGAGTGGAGTGTGGGGGGGGGGGGGGGGGGCTTACCCAGTCCAATATTTGACGGCCTTAATAAAAGAATAAAACTTACATCCCGGAGGTTTATAGTGTCCTGCAGGTAAAAAACAAACTTTTAGCAAATGATTCCATAGGAAGTAAATGTAGTAATACCACACAGTAGAAATACTCTGTTACACAGACGAATACTGCGTTTACCTTGAGCTTAAACTCGCCTGACAGAGTCTCATTCTGACCTCACTCTCCTTTTAGGACGTCAACGTTGTTTTGCCGAATGGCCCATTGCCAATTACAAAATATTATATGATTGGATGTAAATTCTTAATGCGAGATACTTGGTTTCCCCTCAGGAAGTATCTCATATCAGAATGTGTAAATGGATGATATTTGTTATTAAGTGTTGACCCAATAAACTCAAGCCTGCGAAGCCAACCTGATAATCGTTCCACCGCGCCCAAACCTTCATTGTTTATACGATCAGTTACTCCGGAAATAGTTTGATAAGAGCCAGAGCAGACACACACACACACACACACACACACACACACACACACACACACACAGCCACACACACACCGTATGAAAACCTTGGACACACAGAAGGTGCAGCAGCGCCTGTGGGGAGTTTCTGGAAGAAATGAGCGGCGGGGTGAGAAAGCACAGCGAGCTGCAGAGTGAGAGTTAATTAAAGCGCCCCCCCCGCGGCTGGTGACGTGGAGCCCGCCGGCGAGGTCTCACCTCACACGGGGGGCGAGGTGGGAGGGGAGTGTGGGGGGTCAGGCGCGGCTGTGCATGTCTATGGCGTACCCATTGATGTAAAAACGAGTCAAGTGGGATCAAACCCATCAAAACGGATGAAAGTGACTCAGATGCATTTACGTCAAGTGTCCAATCAGAGCACTCGTTGACACGAGCAGGAAGCAGACGAGGCCCCCGGGCAGGAAGCAGACGAGGCCCCCCGGCTGCTCGGAGCTGCCGCAAACACCGGCGTTGATTTACTATGAACGCGAGACAACGCGTCGCCTCCGGTTAACTCGCTTCTCTCGCCCTGAAAACGGATTGTTGCGCGCAGAAACCCTCGAGGCCGAGACAAGTCGGAGCCGCTGGGCAACACACCCGGGAGGGGGGGGGGTTGTGTTAATTCACTTGGTGATGTGCGGATGATTAACAAAGACAACGGTTTGATGGGGCCTGTGGAGGTGTGAACACACACACACACACACACACACACAGGGAAGTGGGTCAAATGGACCCTGAGAGAGAGGGAGTGAGAGTTAGAAAAGCCACAAACCAGAGTCATGGATCTTTCTTTTCTCTCATCTCCATCTCATGTGGAGATGAGAGAAAACAGTCATAGGGAGAGAGAGAGAGAGCGAGCGAGAGACGGAGAGAGAGAGAGAGAGAGAGAGAGAGAATTGTTGTTTAAGAGGTGTAAAAAAAATTAAAAACCTAAGAGCTCGACTGAGGTTTCTGCTCATCTGCATTTCTAATGAAGAGTGAAAGAGGGACGATGTGGCGACGGGAAGCGAGAGAGAGACTTAAAAACAGACAGAAAATAAATCCCTTAAGACTAACAAGGGGACGGGTGACACAGTATTAAAGACACGGAGGGAAGAGGAGATATCGGCTGCAGCCCAACGTCCAATTAGAAAACATTTATTCTGATAGAAGTTTTTCAAGTATTCTTTTTTTCCCGATGTTTGCAAGCGCAGGAAAACCTGATTGATGGGTTGCCCGGAGACGGCAAAGAAAAAAAAATTCCAAATTGGCCCACATTTGTCAGAAGTCGCACAGCGAATCCTGTGGAGGAAGAAGATGAAATCCGCAGCGAATGTGGGCTGAATGTCCGCAGGTGTTACTGCGACCACGAAGCTAAACACGGGGAAGCAGCGTGATCATAGGAAACGGCCACCAATGACTTTAATTGACAAATGAATGGGAATAATCAGAATAAATCAGAGAGCTCCATCTGACAAAAAGCGAGCGCAGCGATCGTGGAATTATTCAAAAACGCAGATTAGATTCTTGGAGTTGACTGATTTGAATGGCTTCGGTCTTCAGTGGTGGAGGTCTAAATCCGCATGAATCCACAGACAAATGTCCTTAAGGCCGCCACCGGTATTAATCGGCTCCAGCGATGATTCAACAGGGATGAAACCTTGTTGGCAACTCATTGCCACACGAACAAAAAGGCACAACCAAAATGCCTACATCATACAAATCTATTTATTATAAAAAACAAACAAATAAAAAAAAAACACGATTCCTCATACTGGCTGCAATAAAATGAGAAAACAAAAAGCACACTGGAGAAAGTTTATAGTGGCACGTGAAGATGTGATTGTGGAGAGTCCACTCACCTGCTGTTAATGATGGTGCTGAAACACAATCTGAGCACTGCTCTGTCTCACGCACGCACGCACACACACACGCACACACACACCTGGGCCTCCTGCTGTGGTTGGATAACGGTTCAAGCTCTGCGCGGCGGCCTGACCACAGCCCCATGAAGCTCACCAAGTTCGCATAGTTGCTTAAAATACCTAAAGTACCCCTCTTCTTACAAACGGGTCTGTCGGGACAGAAACTGGCCAACGAGACGTTTCATCCGTCTGGGGGGACGAACCACAGACACCTTGCAAAACGTTTAAAACTGGGAAACATGCACGGTTTACCTGTTAATACGGGGGGGTGTCATGAGACTTTAAAAAAGGCTTGCGAGGTCATAAAACAGTACATGCAACTCTTTGTCCCGCACACGGTAGCACTGACACACACACACACACACACACACACACACTAAAATAACAGCAGGATACATTTCTGAATATCTATAAAAGAAGGGTGCTCGCCGTCGCTGCTCTTGAGTTGCTGTGCTGATCTGACGACGGGAGGCCAGCGCGCCTCGTTTGGATCGAACGTTGGCACGACGCACAGTTCCTCACACACACACACACACACACACACACCTGCGCACACACACACGCACACACAGCATAT